CTTGGTTGGTTCTTGCTAGCAACCTTTATTCTTTGGGGGCCATCCAAGAGATTGGGAGAGCTATCCACCTCTTTTGACACACTGTGTTTGTAAGTGTCCCTTGGTGATCTTCATGTGGTATATGTGACTGTCTACCTATAGAAGGTCTAGCTTCATAAATGCCCCTCCCCTAAACCTGTGTGAACCTGGACATATTGTACCCATTACAGAGATGCTGACTTCATTATGTAGATAGATAAAGCCAGTTACAAAAACACAAATGGTCCTTGGAATCAGTTTTTTTTCTTGAACAACAGCAAGTGTTCATAGAACAAAGCTTCAGGCTCAGCCATTTCTAGTGGCCAGTAGAGAAATATCAACAAAGCCTGGCTGGTAGCTCCTGGCAGATAAAGGTAGTCTACCTACCTTCTAGAGCAAGAACCACCCCCATTTACCTCTCAAGCAACTTTGGGAAGATGTGTATAATGGAAACTTGATTGGAAATTACATAGTGGCTCCCTTTCAGATGGTGTTATGATTTTCTCTCACTTAGGAAATGACTGGGTGTAGGAAGAACTCATTTCTCCCTGACTCTACAGTGTAAGCAAAGTGTTAAATCACTAAGGTGATTTCCCTAGTGAAATCTATCTTTCTTGATCTGAAAGGTTTAGGAAAAACCAGACATAAGGTGGATGGTGCCATCAGTCATTTGTGGCTTTTCTGAGAGTGATTTTTAATCTAGTCTATATCAGGCTAGAAGTCTTACCCTTCTATTTGGAAAACTTTGGATACCACTTTGTGCTTTAGTTTCTTCATCTCTAAGATAGATTTTCCAGACTCTTCTCTAGCAATGAGTACCCTACTTGGTTATCTAATATTAAATGGTCAGCCCTGGAATCATAAGTAACATTAAATAAGGTGAACATGATATATGCATATATATATATATATATATATGCATGTATACACACACACACACACACAAACATATACATACACACATAGAGACAGACAGATAAAGAGAGAAAGTTAAAAGGACCTTGGGAGGGATCATGGATAGTATGGAAGAGAGTCTAGAGAGATGTAAGGGGAAATTATATAATTATATTTTAATTTCAAAACAATAAAAACTTATAAAATGACTTGGCCAGTGTGTTGGTGAAGTTTCTAAGGCAGTTAACAAGTATGCAATATCACAGCTTTAATTATAAGTGCCCTTTTTACCAAATTTCATTTAGTGAGTGCCATAGACTCTGCTTCACCAAGGCTGAACATCAGAGAGATTAAACAGCTACATAGCTGTGTTACCTGCAAAGAGTGGCAGAGTCTGAGTAGATCGGAACTAAGCTAAGCTATCTTACCCATGTGCCCAGGGAGACACTCATGTCCCCTTTTCCTGGTCTTCCTGGGGATAGGCAGACCAGCCTCTTAGATGAGGGCCTAGGGATGTCCCTGACCACCTCATCCTGCTCATTGACTGCCTGAGAACTCTAAAGTAATGGCATGACTCCCTGGAGGCTTCTTTCAGAATCAGAAAGTAGCCTCAGTCTAAATCTTTCACTGAGTCCATTCTGTCTCTCATAGGGAAAGGTTTTGAACAGTTCAAGTCATTGCAAGATACAGGAGACTTACTGGAGACCAAAGGGTTCAGCAGAAAGCATTCTTAGTGGATCTTCATAAGGAACGACTTGTTGGAGAGGAGCCATTGTGATTTAATATTAGCTTCTCAATGCACACACACATGGCATGTATTCCCACACATGTGCATGAATACATATGGGTGTACATGCATATGTGTTCAGGTGTTTGCACACATGTGGAAGTCAGAAGACCGACATGTCTCTCATTCCTCAGACATTGTTCTATTTTCTTTGAGACTGTCTCTCCCTGACATGGTTTTCACCATGAAAGCTAGGCTAGCTGGACAGGAAGGCCTGGGTATCAGCCTGTGTGTGCTTCCTTAGCACTGGATTCCAAGAGTGTACTACCCAGCCGGCTTTCTTATAGGACCTCATTCTAGTTATGGGCCCAGCTATCCTCTCAGCCCTGATGTTTGCCTCAAAAGTCAGAGCAGCTCCCAGATCCAGATGCTTTTGATTCTGAAGAACCAACTGCAGATAGATAAACTGAAGCTCTTCTCAGTGCTATGAACACCATTGTCTGCCAGAGATGTTCTATGGTGCTTGCTACGTCCATCTCACCCTTGCTCTCGTGATACTTGGAAATAGTGTTGGCTATGCATTTGCAGGATAAGGAAGCCAGGAAAGTGACCTACCTTGGGGTTAGGAGTAGAGACATGTACTTCATATTTTCTGAGAATTTCTTATTCACCCAGCAATCATTTCAGATGTCTGTAGCATGTCAGGCCCCTGGCTAAGCTAGAAAGATGAATGCTGAGTTTCTCCGTCTTGTCCTGCCGTCGATGGACCACATACACACATAGTCAATCTCAGGCACATTTACTGAATAACCATCATATGTGGACACACTGTCTCTTAAGTAATGTTGCTTTGTGCTCATGGAACTCAAGGGATTTTACTCAAAAGTCTCAACTTGTATTGGTTTCTCTTTCATTTGCATATTCCATTGGCCAGGTGGCAAGCTATGATTTTCATAAGAAAGAAACTGCCTCTCATCTCCAAACTATTGTCCAAGACTCGGCCTTTATTTTTAAACCAGGAGTTGACAGCCACCACCTGGGCCTGTAGCGGGCAGCTCAGGTTGCATCTGACTGAAGTCCCCAGCAGCTTCACCTGCAAGAAGCTGATTTTGCAACACTTCTCTTTTCCTTTGTATGCTGGAGCAAAGAGAGGCCTGGAAAGGCTGTCTCTCTGAGTGACAGGGTCCCTTTGTGAAACTGGCCAACTGAGACCTAAGCTGCAAATGTCAGTAAAAATAAATAGCATTTCAAAGGGCCCTTCTGCATTTCCTTCCTGTGTGTGCTCATTGCTTCATCAGCCAAGAACTGCATGAGTGGCTTCGGAGAACACACTGGGCCCTGTAGATAAGGAATTAAGCACACAAGGTGCCTTTTCTCCGATGCTTCCAGCGTTTCATGGTTTTTGTTTTTAAAGTACCTGCTTGCTGATGATACAAACCAAGGAAGAGAAACCAACTTGCGTTGGTTTATGCCTTCTCCAGGGCAACTTCTTGTTTCTTTGTTTTGCTTCTTTCTGACACCGCTTTGTTGTGTCCGGAACCCGCTTCCTGCTCTAGGAGAAGGCAGCTGTCACTTGTAATAACCATAATTCATTATAATGGGCCCTATTTTGTCATCATGAAAGCAGTTGTTTAGATGTGCCTCTCCCCTGTCCTAAGCATGAAGGGCCCTGAGCACGTGGAACCCTGCTTAGAAACCCTGTCTGGGGGAGCTTAACACATCTGAGAGGAGTTCCTACCTTAGCCATCTAAAAGCTGCAGTCTGGTGGAAGTTGCTTCATTCTTCCTCAGCTTCTGTTTCTTGACTTTTAAACACATATATGCAAAGCTTTTAGGGTACTGGTGGCAACTGTACAACACAGAATTCTAAAGGTTCAAGATACCAAAGGACAATGCAGGGTACAGGGGGAACCCTCCTCTCCCACTCTGAAATGTAGAACAAAGTTGGATTCAGGAGGAACCTGTAGTTTTCTAGAGAGAAACTCTCCAGTCACTTTCTTCAGCAATCCCCTTCTCTGGCTTCAGTTTTCTTGTTGGGAGATGCCTTGAAGTTTGGAGAGTCCAGAGTCTAGGTTGAAGCCACTTCTTTCTGACTCCAGACCTGGTTTGTAACTCCTCACCTGGTACCTTGGGCACTGCTGAGAGAAAATGTTATGGAGTGACAATTCAAAAGATAAATGAATCATCCATGTGACTATAAGGACAGGGCATTCCATATAGAAAAGAAAACAGATCTGGCGAAGCTTAGAGTGCCTGATGGGAAAACGTTGTGATTGGAGCAGAGCCAGAAACTCCCAGGCTGGAAAGGGAGGGAGTCCGTGGCCTGATCACATTGGTCTTGACCAGGAGGAAGTTTATTCTGGGTGCAGCTGCATATGCAGTGTTCAAAGTGATATGGCCAAGAGCAACACCAGTTGATTGTGGAAACATGCTCATGATGTAAGAATAAGTGAGGAACAGAATCCCAAATACGGAACTGTATATGTAATACTATTGCATTTGTGGTGTGTGTGTGTGTATGTCTGTGTGTGTGTAGTTGTCTTAGTAGTTGATGTATTCCTTCATTACTCCCCTGGATTTGGTATCTCATGAGTTTTTATATTAATTTAAAGACTGGGCTTTAAAAATCTCTGTTGATGGAGTTATTGTAAGGATGGGGATCCTTTATGATGTCATGTCTCAGATTTAAGCTTGATGTATCTTTGGAAAGCCCTAGTGAATTTTGAAGGCTACATGTTTATTTGGAATTTTGTTGATGTTGCTGAGATAAGGTTCTTCACAGTCTCTGTGGTTGACCTGTAACTCGCCATGTAGCCCAGACTGGCCTTGAACCTAGGTGACTCTCCTGCCTCAACCTCCCAAGTGCTGGGCTTTCAAGTGTGAGCTACCATGTGCAATTATTTGGTTTACATGGGTATGCAAGTAGGTTCACATTTATATGACTGTTCACACATGTGCACATGCATGTTGAGGCAAGAAGGGAACATTGGCTGTCATTCCTCAGGTGTCATCCACCTTGTTTTTAGACATGATGTCTCTCATTGGCTTGGTACTCATCAAGAAGGATAAGCTGGCTGGGCAGTGAGCCCAAGGGATCTGCCTGTGAAATCCAGCCCTAGTATTACAAATGCTGACCACAATAGCCAGCTTTTTATATGTGGATTTGGGAAAATTAAACTCAGGTTCTAATGCTTGCAAAGCAAACACTTTCCTGACTGAGCCATCACCCTGCTGTTTGTTTCTTATGTTTTGTTTCCCTGTTTCTTTCTAACGTCTTCACTTATAAGCACTTCTCACCACTGATCTAATTTTACACAAGTTATTCATGCAAAAGACTCAAACACTTCCTTTTGATCCCACAGATTTGAACATAACCTGCCGCTACGCAGGTGTATTCCATGTGGAGAAAAATGGCCGCTACAGTATCTCACGGACTGAGGCAGCTGACCTCTGCCAAGCTTTCAACAGCACTCTGCCCACCATGGACCAGATGGTGAAGGCCCTGAGCAAGGGGTTTGAAACTTGCAGGTACGAGACCAGCACCCTCACTGGGGAAAGCCACCTGGGGAGAGTCAGGGCTTACAGCTAGAAGGCTCTTCCCTGACAGTTGAATGCATTCTTGCCTTAAGAGGCAGCCCTACCTATTAATTTGACCAAATCAACCTGGAACCGGTATGACAACTGGAATTTAAAGTCAGCTTGAGGCACCTTTGTGAATCATGCATGTGTCAGGGCGAGGGAGTCACGGGAAGCCATGGGGTCATATCAGTTGCAGCCCTCTTGCTTATATGCTCCTGTAGCACTCTTCTGGCTTTGAAGAAACATTCAGTATCATTGTCGGAACCACAAGAAAACACAAACCAAATAACAGTGTTTAAAATAAATAGGTAGCTGGCAGAGTCTTAGCTGTGCAGACTTGACACAAAGCATGTTCTCCAACCCCCGCCCTCTCTCAGCTTTTAGGTTGTCTTCTATGTTGCTATGGCTTGACAAAGCAAGTCAAGGAATATGGAAGTTTTAAGGCTCCATAACATTAAAATAAGTTGCTATCAGAAACCTTGAGAAGTTTTCTACCTAAGGCCCAAGAGGACTTCCCTCATTTTGTTTTACGATAATCACAAGAGGCGGGTGTACCCTGCCTCTTGCTTTCTTGTTTGTTTTTGTGGCCAGTGGTATGTATGAATGGGACACTTAGTGACACCCTCAGTCACGTGGTTAGTGTGGTTTGATTTCACTAGAAAATCTGGGTAGTCTCCACACCTGCTCTGAATCCCCACCTCCTACTCCAGCTTAGGTAGTGTGATTCCCTTTCCTCTCCAGGGCTCACACATGTGTACACATATGCAAACAAAATACCTTTAAAAAGTCTAGCTGCAGCCCTCTTTATGGAAGCTATTAAACGGGAGTTAATTACATCTATCCTGGCCCTTAGTTACAGACTCAGGCACCCACCTCTTGAGTGGTTCATGAGACTCTTGTTTTGTCCAATATAGTAACAATTAGCCACATACAGTGAGTTACATTTAAGTTCATTACAGCTATGTAATGTGAAAATGAGTTCTTTGATGGCACTAGCTACCTTTTACATACCTGGTAGCTGCCTTATCAAATGGGATAGATTATATAAAGAATGTTTCCATTGTTTAAGGATGTTGTCTTGAGCAGCACCAGCTAGACATCTCTGTTTCTTAGTGTTCAGAGCTATGTCTGGGAGAATGTTAAAGGATGGGTGATGGTTCTGTAGCTATAGAACCTGACACACTGTGAAGAATGGCCAGACAGTTAGCAAAACCACTTATTCAAGCCCCAAAGCTATATTTTAAAATGAGGCCCTGACTAGGTCACTGGGCTAAAATAGTGCTTTTAGGAAGCTGGCCTATGATTGTGAAAGGCAGTTAAGATGTATTTGTGAAACACAGAGATTTTTCATCTGTGAGAGCCAGAGGAACAAATAGAGTGCTGAGCAGCTGGGAGTATCCTCGAGACATCCTTGATCTTAATCCTTAAACAGTCGGTTTATTACTAAGACTTTTTATAGATGAAGCAGCAGAGGCTTACAGCTTGTCATGGATCTCACTGCGTGCACGTCTCAGCTTGGTTGTGATCAGTCTGAACGTAATGACCAAGCCCTGGCAAGGGACTGAGAAAGGGGAGGATGCAAGGACTTGCTAAATATGTCTTTCCTCCTTGCAAACAGCCACTCATTCATGTCATGTTCATGTACAGAAATTGTAATGTTCTCAATTCACTTGTAGTAAGTGCATATAAAAGTGTCAAGTATTATGATATAGTAAAAATTCACAATAACTCACCAAGGGAATGTAAGAATGTATTTAATTTTAGAATGTCCAACACACACACACACACACACACACACACACACACACACACACACACACACACGTCAACATGAGGCAGGAGGACATGGTGAAGAATAGTTTCACTGTGAAGTATTATTTAGAAAAAAATATATGAAGAAAACCCTCTGCTTCAGTAATCTGTCATTGCTCCCTTAACTGGTATTAACTGTTTCAAAACTCACTTTCATAATTTCCCTCAGGTAGCTATGGAATCAGATATCTGCCAAAATACAGAAGGCATAGTCTTACAGGCTAGGCCAAAGGCTCAGCAGGGACTTCTGCCTTGTCTGCCCCACCCTGATAAGTGACAACTCTCAGGTCCATGAGAACTTCTTACCAGTTAATTGTGTGCAGTCCCACCAACAGCTAAAGGAGACTTTGGGGGAATTAGTCATCTAGCTTCCATTGCAACACCAACATAATGAGAGACTTGGAACTTAGGAGTGTCTAAGTGACTCTCATTGCCACCGGTCTTGCAGTGTGCTGCAGTCTGTGCTGTAGCCCCCTCAAGGGAGATTAAAAGAAGGTGCATTTTAGCCTGCACTGTACTTCTCAAACCCTGAGGGACTTAGCATCTCATGGTTTGTTCTCTTGCTGTCACACCACCCCTTTCCTTTTGAGTAGCATTTTCTCAGCCCACATGCTGTGTTTTGGGGCATTTCTTGCTTACATTTGGCAGCCACTAGGATGAAGTGATGTGTACTATATCTGCAAAGGCCTCCAGCCCCAATGTACTCCCAGAAATACCTAGATAGATGTAGGAGTGGTGGTGTGTTGCTTGAAGAACTTTGTTAAGTGAGCCACTGCCGTCCTCTTTCCTAATTGCTTTTACCCTCAGTTCAATGATGGCCACTTTTGTCTCCATGGGTCTGGATTGCTCACAGAGTCAGACATGCTGTGTGCTCAGCACAGGGGCAAGGCTTCATGTGGGCAATAGTGGAGTAAGGAGTGAGGGGCTCAAGGGAGAATGGAAGGAGAAGAAAGAAGAGGAGGAAGAGAAATGAGGCAGGTCTGTAATCTTAGACTCAAAGGAAGGCTAATCCACTTGCTAATTTAGGAGATTGTATCATTTTATGTCATTTTTGGAAAAAACAAAGTTAATTCAGTGTCAAATCAGTACAGCTTCTCTCTTCTGCAACTCAGGCTTTTTGTTGCCTTTAATAACACTGCTGGTCATAGATTTTACATAGAAGGGATTTTTTAAAATTTTATTCATAAATCTTTTTGTTTAAAAACAAGAAAGAGCATCAGCTCTGGGTCTTTAAACAAAATCTCTTTGCTTCTGTCAGCTTCAATCTCCTTCACTCTTCTGTGGTGGTAATTTTGGATTTTATGGAGCTCAGTTGCTGGAACTCCTAATATTCCTAAGGGTGAATAAGTGAAATGTTGTGCTGCATTAAATGTCATTTGATGGGAAATTATGAAAAGACGCCCTGGCCATGCATGTTAATAACTTCATGTTTTTCCTTTGGCAGGTATGGGTTCATAGAAGGCCATGTGGTGATCCCGAGGATCCACCCCAATGCCATCTGTGCAGCCAACAACACCGGGGTGTATATTCTCACATCCAACACCTCCCACTACGACACATATTGCTTCAACGCCTCAGGTGGGTACTAAATGAATGATCTTTGGGTTGCCTGTGGGAACATGATTGGCTGTGGGAACATGATTGGCTGACAGTAGTTCAGTAAAAGCCTGGGTGGAGCTTCCTGAAACTTCCACTCAAGATGAGTCCTAAGAGTCGTTACAGTAGAAGGAAGATTGAGATTCTTGTATTTATGGTACTAATGTGCCAGGCTTGGGAAGCAGATGATGAAGATTTAAATATCAATTCTTTTACATGAGGTTGGAGAGAGCTAAAGAAGAAAGCACCATAGGAAGGCACAAGCTCTAGGGATGCTGTCATTTGAGAGGTGAACAGGAAGGGTACATCTGAGGAAATGTTTAGGGGAGCCACAACCAAAGAAAAGGAGTAGATCGGCAACAGGAACACCTTAATTCTAACCAACAAATACCATGGAATTGAAGGTGAGAAATACCCAGTCAAGGACAGAGCTGTAGGCAAAGAAATTAAAGAGGTTTAGAGGAGGGGTGGCTAGAGCCTTCAGTGTGTTGGGAAATAGAAGCAGTTCCTGAAGGAAAAGTGGTATCCATCTATTGATAGTTTGGGGTGCAAGCCAAATGGCTGAGGGTATTATTTTAAATGGAACTAATGAAAAGGCAAGGAGGATATGATAGACCATTGACCTTCTTGAAAATGCCCCTTAGCCAATGGTTGAGACCACCAGGAGTAAGAAGGCCAAGATAGAGATGCTGGGCTCCCTCCTTTGTCTGTGGAACATTTCCCAACTATGAGCTTAGAAGTCATGCTTCTATTCAAGCCACCATACACACACACACACACACACACACACACACACACACACACACACACACACACCAAAGAATTCTATGCATTACACATTTTCAGAGTCTTTTGAGAAGAACTGAGATCATAAATGTCAAAGTTTTAAATGCCAACAATCAAAAATCTTAGTTCTCAAACTGTATCTTCTATTCCCCCAAAGAGAAAGAAATGGCTTTGAGGTGAACTTGTCACATCTTCTAGGACTGTAAATTTTCCTTATATATGGAAGGAAGATGTTAAATAGGCTGGAAAGTGGCTAAAGACTTTGTCCCTATAATACCATAGCTAATATAATATGGTGGTAGGACATAAAACTATGTGGACTTTTAAGGTAATAGGGGGCATCAAGGGCAGCAAGAGATTATGTCAGTGTCCTTAGACTGTGCTACCTACTCATTGTTTCACAAACACTGAGGATTAGGGTGGGAATTCAGAGGAGAAATCTAGAGTTTGGGGAAGAGGATGTATTGAAGCCAAGTAGTTGAAATACAGTAAACGAACCCAAGAATGCATGGTCCATGGAGAACACACACACAAGACAAGGAGAAAAATTGCAGCAAGTTTGCCTCTCCCTGTCATATGAACAAAACACACACACACATGGAGTTCAATCAAAATGGGGAAGTCCACTCAAAACTATATAGGTCACTGTCCATACTCAATGTAATGAACTAAAGCACAGATGGATTAACAGGAAGTAGACATAGAGCACCCTGGGCTAACCTCTTCCATCTTTGTGCAAGGGGTCAGGAATGAAGGGGTTGAACAGGTGGCAAAGACTCAGCTTGGTGTGATCCTACAAGCTGCTCACTCAGCTTGGTGTGATCCTTCCAGTTGCTCAGACTTTGGGTTCTATTTTTGCTTCTCCTGCTGAGTCTTGTTCAGGGAACGTACACAGTAAATCACACAGCTGTGTTCCCATATTGTCTCGGCTGCTTTACAAGTTGGTGTCGCTTTGAGTTAAGGTGCTGAGAAATTTAACTGCAGCAGGCAGAAGCACGTACTGTTTTATGAGCAGGAATGGAAGTGATGGAGGCAAACAACTGTTCTTCCTTTCCTTCCCGTTGCCCCTGAGTTTGGGTCTGTCCCCAATACAGGGTCAACAGTGTTGATGAATCAACTCTCTTCTCCTTAGAGAAGCAGCCAGGTGCTAGTTCAGTTGGAAACCGGGAGAAGTACTAGAGATCTGCTTCATTCCAAAATGACTGTGTTAAAATAGCAAAGTTGAAAAATAGTACTACTCATTTTTTTTTCTATTTTCTATATGTTGATAAGCTTTTATAATAAGTCTAAAGATAATATTTATCTTCACACTATTGTGCTAAGTAAATTGAGGGTCAGGAAGAACCCAAAAGTGTGTTTCTTGTCTTCAAGGAATTAACCATCTTCTTGAAGCAAGAAGACAGAAAATACAGAAAGGAGAGGCTGGAATAATGAGGCTGGAGATAAGCAATTTCCATATCCTGGCACATGAAGTGACGAACCTGGCAGCTTCCACCTTGCTGCCAAGAATGTCTTTGGAAGAATTTATAACCTAGCCTAGGGACTGCAACCAGGAGGTCCCAGAGGAAGGAGCCCTGTAAACTAGCAACAGGGAGAAGAGCCAGCAATACTATAGCAGATAACTTTTACAAGCTTAAAAGAGTATTTCTGTGAATCCCCAGGGAAAATTAAGGCAGCCCTCAGGAAAAGGCTTTGTGATCTTTTATTTTTTTCTTACCACATCTCTTAGTATCTAAGGCCCAACATGAGTGAGCCTGGTAACTTCTGGACACCAGGGACAAAGGCAACAAAATCAAGCCCAATTTTCAAAGCTTGATTTCTGTAAGATGTCTCATTCTCTTCAGGTAGAATTAAGGAGCAGATTTTGCATTCATGATTTCCATTCACTCGTTTCTTTCAGAAATGTTTGGAAAATTTACTTGTGGAACACCTACAAGTTACCCTGGAGGAATTACCCTTTCTACCTGGCATCCAGAGATTGACACCAAGACTGAATAATTGCTATCTTAGCCCTTTGGAGCCAGTAGCCAAACTTTCTGAGAATACAGCCCCGAGGAAAGCCAGTTTAGTGTTTCTTTAGCAAGCCCCTGTGCTCAGGGACAGCCAGAGCAGTACATTGCTTGAGAGAGTGAAACTCAATCTAATGAGGTCACATGAGTGGACACTGGCACAAATGTGTTAACTGCATATGTGGGTCACCATGCATCTTGGCATCCTGGCCAGATTTGGCTTCTCTATGAAATTTTAGGTGAAATGGAGCATGAAGAGGCTCCGTGGGAACACACTCTCATCATTTACAGACTAGCTTCAGTGTTGTTGACATGCCCGGCTCATTATAACTTCACTCCTGGAAACTCACAGGCCCATTTCTGGAGATGCTACATATCAAAATACCACAAACAACTCACAGATAATCTCAGTCCTAAGACAAAGAGAATAGAGACTTCCCAAATCTCTCCAGTAGCTACATTATCAATAAGGGGATTTTGAAGAACATTTTTAAGGAATAAAGAGTTAGAGAAATATATTTGACGACTTATAAATTCTTTGAAGCCAGGGATAGAAGCAGGCTCATCTTTTTTTCTGCTTTTTTTCTTCTATGAGCTGGCCTGCAGATGCTGAGTGGCCCTTAGAAAGAATCAGTTAACACTTTAATAACTACTGAGAACATTGCTTTCCAGGCTTCTGGAGCTGTTGACACTGCGGACTCTTTTAGGAGATAGCATCTCAGGTGTGCTTCCTTGGAGACCTGAGATCTTTCCTCCTTTTGACAAATACATGTTAAATGTCTCTCTGTTCTCACACAATGTTCTGGCCCAAGCAAATGAACTTACTATGGCAGGGTGGAAAGCAGGAGGTGGGTGGTGTGAGATTCATATGAATTAGCAGTAAGTAAAATGAACAATTTTAGATCGTAGTGCACAGGCAGAATAAATGAAAAGGTGAGAGGCCATGGTGACAGGCATCAGGAAGGGGTATAATGCTGGCCTTACCATTGGTAGCTTTTTCATTTAAAGGGTCTCTTGTGAATTTTTTCACAGCAACTTTTGCAAGAATACTTTTCCTAACATTCACACTCCCCCTGTTAAATGTTTACAGCATCAGCAGCTTTTGCTTTAAAATAAGTGATTGAAAACAAAACAAAACAAACAAACAAACAAAAAACCCAACAGTGTCTATGTTTGGCAAAATATTTCTAGTAACTGCTAAGTAGCCGCTACCTATTTGCCCAATTTCTGTTTCTACCTGTGTTATGAGTGTGCAACAGTTTATGGCAGGGAATTTAAAAATGTTTGAAACCTGCTTTCCTTATGACAGCTGTCTGCCAATATTTGCCCCTGGCCCTCCAAACCTCCATGCATATGTATGTGCATCCACCCACCCATCAAGCTCTTTCTTCCTTTCTCTGTTAGAAAGCAATACTAGAAGAAACCAATTAGAAGATACTGTCTCCTAATATTTAAGCTATTTAAGCAGACATGCATGCCTTAAAAGCTGTAATGCAGCTGGGTGTGACGGCAACACTTCTGTAACCCTGGCACTTAAGATGTTTAGGTGGGTAGATTATGAGAGTAAGAAGAGTCCATGTCTCAGAAAAGCAAATGAAGGAGGTAGCCCTATAGTATACCAATGGAACCATCCTTTACATTAAAGCCATTGCTTTATAGCTTTCTGGCGTGCAGGAGCTCCATACTTACTGATAGAGCACATGGGCATGACAGGGTGGTGCTTAAGTTGCTGTTGTCTGCTTTTAAGTCTGAAGTAGTAATGCACAAGTCAGGAATTGTAGGTCCTGGTTTCTGAGGGTGTCGGGAAATACTGGCCAGAAAGCTCCTAAAAACATCTGGAGGTGACCATGTAGCCAAGTCATAGCATGGAATCCTAAAGAAGAGGTAGGTGGGAGTAGAAGATAAATGGAAGAAAAGAAAAAAGAAGTCAAATGATATATGCCTAGACAATGTGGGTGCCCATGCCAAAGGTGGCCAGCCTAGACCATGGGTGACCATGGCAAAGATGTCTAGCCTAGCTGCCTGCTATGAAGCCCAACACATGGAGGAAGTGCTCATAAATTTAGGCAAAATAAATGAAGCCATTGATCCTTTAATAAAAGACTGGGAATTTGTTGATTATTAGGTAAATTCATTGCTTATGTTATTTTAATTTTCATAGTCTTTTGATGTTCACATCGATCATGTGGCCATCACAGTTTCTCAACATCTATGCTGATGTCTGGAATCCCAAATGATTTTTCATGATTGTACATGGCTTCGTTATAAATTTTTTCACAACGATTACACATTTCTTTTGCAATTGAGATTTAGAATCCTCTTTTATAATATGCTTAATTGGAGAAGAGCCATGTCTATCTTATTCCTAATTAAACATGAAACATCAGACTTGCTACAGTGCCAGATATAGAATGCCTGCCTGCCTCCCTCTGTCCTTGTATAGCCCAGTTTATTTTCCCTAGCTCCAGGATTACAAATATCAACACACTTGTCCTAGAACATATGTGATTCTTAATGAATGAAGTTGCTGCGGTGGGAATAACAAGTTTATTGGAACTTTTGAAATTAAGATAGTAAAAACACATCAAAAAGGGTAGAGGAATTCCTCATAGATTTATCAAGTTTCAAGAAAAGAAAGTTATTTAGGACAAATTAGAGTAAAACTATATTCTAACTGATTAGTAGGACACATTAGCTGTGAGGTGAGGGTTTTTTTTTTTAAATTACTTGTTTTTATTTCATGTTTTTTTGTTCTTCCCCATAGCACCCCTGGAAGAAGACTGTACATCTGTCACAGACCTGCCCAATTCCTTCGAAGGACCCGTTACCATAAGTACGTACCCCTCCTAGTTTCAGGTGATTTGTCTCATTCTTGGGAAAGGCATCTGGTGTGTTCTCTACTGATACTATTCAAATAGGCTATTAAGTTGTTTCCCTAAGGGGAGAACAGCTGTGTTTCCACACCCCATTCTCCTTTTCCATGCTGGCTTGAAACTTGTCTGATTTACCCCTATGCCCCATTCCTGAAACATCAGTCATTTGAAAAACACTTTCACACACTGGGAACCCATCTATGTACTCCACTGCACCATCGTTTACTTTATCACCCTCTTCTAAATAAAATACATTTGCTTTTAAAAAGAAACTGCTAATGGAAAAAATGCTACTACTTGCCATAAATTAAAGGTAACCATAAAAATCAATGTAAGTGCAAGATAAGATAAATAATAGGTTTCAACTTCTAGCTGTTGATCACTGTGCACTTGAGCTGCATTCTGTCTAATAGAGAAGGCTTGAGTAGTCTCAGAGATGCAGGTACCCACATGAGAATTTTCTTGTTGCCATAACTGAAGTGCATAATTATGAAGGCCACGAGTTTCCTGGTATGTGTTTCAATATCATCTATACCACACCCATCTCAGATCATCTACAAAAAATTGCATGTACTGATTTAGAAGATGGAAAACACTCATCAAAACTTCTCAACAGGCTAACTTATAAACATTATTAAGCTTATTTCTGCTTCCTTGGAGTCAGTCCCCAGCAGGGTGTGCAGACACAATGACAACAGTAGGTGCAATGAGCTCTCCCTAGACTGTGTAAGTCCAGAATCTCACTTGGCCTGTATGCTGTAGCAGCCAGAGGATGCTTCACATCCCAGCAGCTACCATGCAGTACTAGAGCCACACCATTTCCTGAGCTTCAAGCTCCTCTTATGTATAAGTTGTAACATATAAGTATTATCACGTGACTAATGAGTCTTGTGTGTGTCAGATCCATATCAGATGCTTAGGAAATGGCCAATTCCCATGGTTCCTGAACATTTCCTCCAAACTCTAGATTTCTACAAGTTTGGTCAATACCATGGTTTGTGTATGCCCACCCCAAGGTTCATGTTTTGGAAACATAACTCCCAATTTCACACGTTAGTAGTAGTTGGAGTTGAGCTCTTTGAGAAGTAGTTAGGATTGGATGGAGTAAAGAAGGTGAAGCTCGATGACATCAGTAGCTTTATAGGGTGAAGAAGAGAGGCCTGAGCTGGCTCACTTTCTGTCTGACCACAGGATGTTCTCTGTCATACAATGGCAGACAAATAAAAGCCCCTCAGGAGATCCTAAGCAGAATTTCTCAGCCAGGACTCAAGGGTCATGAGCAAAATAAACCTCCATTCTTTATAAATTGTCTTTGGGTTAGAAAGCTGGGCTTTTGCACACACATGGTACACATAAATTCAGACAGGTGTGAGCACACACATATTAAATAAATAATGTGTTTTTAAATGGTAAGGTAATATAAATTGCCTTGACTTGAAATACAGCAGAAGAGTATAGACCTTAATAGTCAGTAATCTCATCAGATCTTCCTCTGTAGACACTATCAGGGTGACTGAGACCTTGGAATGTTTTCCAACATTGGTTTTTACTAATAGCTTCATTTAAGAAAACTAGATAAGTGAAACAAGAGTCCTTAGTACCACACTTGCAATTTAGCAGGAAATATTCCCAGTGAAGTGCAAATAAATAGCTGTGTATAGAAAATGGCTGAGGCTCAAGACAGAAAATACATTTTAAGGATGGATAATAAATTAGTTAAGTTTACCTTTTCTCCTCTGGTTCATTCTGGTCAACTGTTTATTAAAGCAAAGACTCGTATGTGTATGTATATTTGTGTGTGGGGGGGTAGGTGTTTACCAATTTTAAGGTTGGATTTCCTTGAGGATGATTGAAACTCTGGCAATGTTTAGACAAACCAGTTTTCCACCCAGAAGTAGGTGTTTGCTAAAAATGGTAAAAATTACCCCTTAGAAAGAGTCTTTCTAACGGATTGCAAATATATCTTCTTTGTAAAGGCTTTACAACTGCTATTTCAGATCCTTACTGGAGATGGGTGGGATTAATAGTGATAACATTTACACATATTTCAGAAGGGATTGCACAGGGTGGGAGAGGTATCACCGATGGAGCCTCCAGGTATTTTTAACTATGTTGGACACTAATCATAGTGATTCACATGGAGCTCATGACCCCATCCAGGAGGCAGTGCCTTTCCTTTACTAATGAGGACACTGAAGCTCACAAGGTTACCTTGTCCAGAGAGATCTGAAGCTCAGATTCAAATGTGGGGGCTTCCTAGTACCTCAATGTTCTCCTCCGCATTTCCAGAGCACCTTATCCACTACATCTCAGCACTTACCCTCTATATCTCAGCACTAGACATACAGATATTTTATTTACTACACATGCTGCCAAAGCAAGCACCAGACAGATGTGTTTAAAGCAAAAGAAAATAGCTTCAAAGTCATGTCATACGACGATGCTCCGTCTTTCCTATATTCAAGGTAAGTATCAACTGTGAAGTTCTGAAGGTGCCTCTCTGTCCTCTTCAGCTATTGTCAATCGTGATGGTACCCGTTACAGCAAGACAGGCGAGTACAGAACACACCAAGCAGACATCGATGCCTCAAATACCATCGATGATGATGTCAGTAGTGGATCCTCCAGTGAGAAGACCACCTCAGAGGGCTACGTTTTCCACACCTACCTTCCCACTATACACTCAACTGGAGACCAGGATGGTCCCTACTTCATCAGGAGCACCCCGGCCACCAGTAAGGAGAAGGGAATTGCTGTGTTTGTCCGATAGCCATTCTTTGACAGAATGCCAATGACCCTCGTGAGTGATGCACACTCCAGTGTTTGTTTTCTGCTGTCCTTAGATGTCTAGATCTCGGTGATGTCATTTGGGTGCCGGGCTCCTGTGCCTGTCCATGTTTCTGGTCAGTGAGCACTGACACTTACTGTTCTTCACACTGCCTGCATCTTCAGTTCTGTTCCTCTTGTCTCAGCATAAGGTGTGTGCCGTATTGGAAGGGTTTCCCCGGAGAGGTGCCTCTTTTCTCTCGTTCCTCATGACTGAGCAATGCCTCAGACCTCTTACAAGAAGAATCTCTCTGGTGTTGTTTGTTTCATCCTTATTTTTTTTTCACTATGCACAAGACTATTCTATTGAAGTTACAGCTGCAGAGTGTCCACTCCATTCCACCGGTTCCTTTTATAACCCTGCCTTGAAATCCTGTTTAAACCTGATTTATTCTCAAGGTTCTGATTGTGTAATAATCCAGTTATATATATTCCTTAACCAGAATTTTCTAAACCATTCCGTTCTTTTGGTCCAAGGAAACAAATGTGAAGGGGTTTCTTTTTTCAAACATAACGTTTTTATTGATTATTTGGGAATAATGCACCCTGATCCCACTCCCTTCCCAGTCCTCCCAGGTCCAACTTCCCACCCTTCAGATCTCTGAAGAAAAAAAAAAAAAAAAAAAAAAAAAAAAAAAAAAGAAGAAGAAAAGGAAGCAATATACCAAGCCCACGTTGTGTTGCCCATATATCGGCTGGAGCATGGTCAAACTCAGTGGTGTGAGGGGATTTCTGAGCACCTTCGTCAGCTGCAGAGTTCTAGATTTCAGTATGTTAGGGAAGATCCCGAAGCTCTGGGTATGTGGGGTTGACAGCAGGGGAAGGCTGTACCTGCAGCTGCATTAGATGATATTGGGTTTGGGCAGCTGGGCTCTGGTAGAAAGGTGCTCAGAGCTCCTTATCTCCTCCATTTTCCTCTCTGTACTTCCTCTATTGTTTGTTTTAGAATGAGGTTTCAGTTGTCTGGGCTCCTTCTGTGGCGAATTACTCAAACCAAAAAGGGGAGCTAAGTCTTCACTGGATATCCTAGTATGGTGTGGATTTTCTCCTTTCCTGGCTGCAACTCACAAGGGGTGGTGCTCTGGCTTCTTTGTGGTTTGGCAGGAATGTACTGGCTTGTGAATATTCAAGATAGGACTCTTTTTTACTCAGTCACTCAGAAGCCAGGAAGCCTCCACAGCACTCTGATATAAGTTGAATTCACTCAGCAGTGTTTTCAATTTCTGTTATCAAGTTGCTGAGTGAGGGGAAGGGGTGATGCAAACAGGTGCAGGATTCCAGTCATTCCCAGAAAATTTTTTGAAGTCTGTCCAAAAAAAAAAAAAATCCTCCATCAGATTCTGGGGGCCTAGTGATAGCTCAATGAGTAGAGTGCTTGCCTTGCAAGCATGATGACCTAGGTTTTTTGATCCCTGACATTCCACGTAAAAACTTGACCATGACAACATGAACCTGCAACCCTCATACTAGGGAGACAGAGACAGGAGGAGCCCCCAGTTTGCCGGCCAGCCAGTCTCGTCAAATGAGTGAGCTGCCGGCTCAATGAGACATAATTATCTCAAAAATTAAGGTGGAAAGCAATCAAGAAAAACATCATTATATCAACCTCCGGCCTACACATGTGCACACATACACAGACTTCAGTCTTACAAACAAGGCATATCTGTTCAAGCATCCCACGCCCTCCCAGGTCATTCATTCTCTGATGGTAACTACAGTTAGAGAGTAATATCAAAAAGAAGCCAGGGCAAGTGAGGTTTTTATCCATTCATTCCATATCGTGTGTCTTCTCTGCTCCAGACACTGCAGTAGTTTATGAGGGTCAGAGGTGGATCCACCTTCATGGATACGACATCCTAGCTCAGAAATCAAAGGAAAGGAATATGTGAGGCTTAACATAAACAGAGTTGAGAATTTGAGGGGAAAAGGAATTTTGCTACAGAGCACTTAGCTTAGTTCCTTTTAATGGGCGAGGAAGAAAGGCTAATTCGCCCCCAGGTTAAGTTTACTTGGACATAGCACTGATAAGCTTCTGCACAGAATTTACTTTCTGAGCCCAAAGAGGAGCTTCCCAAGGGCTAATTTATCACTGTTGGGCAGAGGGTTGAGACATAGTGAGAGGGAGTGGATGCAGATTAACATGCAGGGGAGCAGAGGTCAAGGGCTAGGCTGGCTGAGGACATGGAAAGAAGCTGTGCTTGGTTTCACCAGCTCATTCCTCCCTTAAGGATGCTCGGTGGGTGGCAACAGGGAAAACTAGCAAGAACAACAGGCTCTCTAGACTTGGGTTTTCCCACTGGCTGTTGATTTATAAATGTTGTTTTTGGAAGAATCTGACTAGAGGTGTGTCATCAGTCCCTTCTTATTGGTCATCTGGAATTCTCTGAAATCAAGAAGCCTAAACTAATTTAGGAAATAGGCTCCTGCCTTGGAAAGCTCCACTTCCTGTCTTCTGGGTGTCAAATGAAATAATTTGTTTTCCGTCTCGCATGACCTTACTTGGGTGGGGCAAATTGGAAACTGATGCCTAGACTGACACTTCTTTCATTGTCTCCTCTCACACAACTCCATGTAGGAAGGCAGAAGTCATACTCATTTGTTTCTATGTGTCCGTTTCTTGTTAGCTGCCTTTTCTGGAGTACTCCAGGGTGAGCACTAGAAACTGAGCATCTTTAGTGCAATTTCTGGTAATGAGAAGTCTGTAGACTCTTGTGGGTGCCTTACTGGGAATATTGTGGATAACTCTGCTCTCACTGCTGGGATCTTTGGCATTTTTTATTGTGTGTTGTCCCAATTCTAAACTGGAGTTCACATGGGATCCAGTAGATTCTCTGTGCTATGTGAAAACTACCTGCAGTATGAGATCATAGATCTTAAGAGAGGTGTTTGATTTAAAATGTTTTTCTTTTTAAAGCTCCAGTGGATTCAGACAATTATCCCAATGGCATTTGCCTTTTTGTTCCTATGGCAAAACATTCTGGAAACCAGTCTAACTTGAAAGTCAGATGGAAGACCTTTTTTTTTTTTTTTAACTTAATAAAAAACTTTTTATTATCCTTTCTCTAACTTGAATAGAGTTCAACAAGTCTTTGCTTTTATGGGTTTTATATGAGAAAGTGATAGGCAGATAGTGGAGAAAATGTCATCTAGTGACAACATTTTTAAATATGGACTCTCTCCAAAATTCTCCAACTATGAAGTGTAACTTGTGTTCAATAAGTGTGGGTGGAGCTTTGAAATGGCCATTGTCACACACTACCTGGGTACAATGCTGAACAAACAGAAAAGATGCAGGCATCCACAAAGACCTAAAGATAAATGAATGGAAGTCGTTGTAAGCTCTACTGCACTGAAGACCTCCAGATCATGGCTGAATGACTATGCCATAAGAGAAGAGCAAATCTCTCTCCGTCGCAATTGATTTGCTGCTTTAGTTTTCCCTGGTCATGATTTGAGGGGGTCTGAGTAGAAGACTCAGAATTATTGAACTGATGCCCTAATCTGCCTTTTTGATTCTGTCCTAAGATTCTGTGAAATGTTAGGAAGCTGGAAAGATAAAAGTGGGCCATAACTGCCCTTTTTAAGTCCTATTCTATAGTAGAGATATCGCATATAGGGCAGGGAGTACAGCCTTGATAGAGGACAGGGGAATCTCACTAAATGATATTTTCATAATTAATACAGTTGCCTCAACTGTGCACTCAAACAGCCATGCAGCAACTCAGAAACAAAATAATTGGATATGGTTTTGGTTTGGTAATTCACAATCCACGACTCAGACTCAGGAGCCTACAACGACAGCAACTACAGGTAAACTATTGCATCTTTTGCTTGCCACTGCCTTCAGTGAGGTATTAAGAATGGTTGTTCATTGTCATAACTAGACAGCATCCTTGCTGGCATCAGGTTCTGATATCATTCAGTAACCATGGAGACCCATGGATCTAGTGCCTCCTCAATGCCTTACTTTCATTTTGGCAACATGACTCGGAGAGCCATTCAGGAGGTGACCTCTAGAAAGACATCTACTGACCAAATTATCATATCAATAAAAGAGAGAAGTACTGAGGCATGAATAGTAAGCAGAGATTTTTTTTTCTTCTTCCTTTGAATACTGAAAACCTTTTATGAAAGATCTAAGAAATGACAATGGCCTGTTGCCTTATATTAGCTTCTAGTGGTCACAAGTAAACTCTGGGGATATTTGGTCATTAGCTCTCAGGCATTTTGACTTGAAATCTTTGCCTGGGAAACTGGGAAAGAGAATCAGTCTAAAATAATAGGAAGTAATAGAGATTTCTTCATTTAACTTATATTGACAGGTAATATGGCCAACTTTCTAAATAGGCATTCTCTCTGTAGAAAGGGTATCATAAAAATAGAAACTTGGCCTTAGACATTTGCTTACCTTGTAAGACACTGATCAACTATATACTTCCTTCTACAATCATGTAAGGAAACTCTGCTGTCATTCTGTGTGCTTAGCACATCACAGTGATTAATATCATGCTGAGGTGGGCAGGTGTATGGAAGAAATGGAGGAATAAGGAAAATGCTATTTGTTATGCTGACATGTATGATTTATCTTCATAGGACAAATAGTGTGAACAAAGGGATTCTGTGACTGTGTTTCATCTTTAATTGTTTCTCGGCTTTCTTGAAAACTGGCAAAAGAAATTTCACTGATTGTTGTGAAACTTACTGATGGCTTCAGCTTTCTCTGCTTGAACTTACTCTGGTTTTTTTGTTTGTTTGTTTTGTTTTCTATTATTTCATATTCTCATGTGCATCATGATGACATAATTGTTCAAATCAAGACTATTGCTTTGGTATTGGTGAAGTCATTGGATCCCTTAATTACTTCCTTTTTTTTTTTTTTTTTTTTTTTTGGTACATTTGGTACATTGCTCTTTCTTGCAAAGTATAGCATTGACATGAAAATGATTATGGGCAGTGTCTCTAGGGTATATACACCTTCCTTGGAAAAAGTTGGGAAGCCATCTTCTTCTGCGTCCCTCTTCCTGTCCCATTCTCACTTGCATTTGGGATTCATGGGGTTATATGCCTGCGACTTCCGGCAGAATATCATACCCTAAACTCCTGGGAATGATATTGGTTGGCCACCTTCCATTTTGAAGAACATCAAAGGGTTTGGGTTCCTAAGAGCTGGCCACTAAAATCACAAATGCTCAGATTTGGAGAGGATCTTAAATTGTTTAGTTCAATCTTAAATTGTGTAAAATATCACCTGATGTTTTAATTCTAGTTTTTAAAAACACATTCTATTTCTGAAATTCTCACCACAGGTCTTAATTTGGCTTCCTGGGGAAGGAGACAAATATTCAACCCTTGTTTCATTTTATAGACGGGAACTTTAGATAATTCTCATGCATTTTTTGAGACTTCTCTGTTGCTGACTGGACTTCAGACAAGTATCTGGCACCGGTTTTTCATCTTATGATGAAAGCATGGACCACTTGATGTTTAAGGTTCCTCCACCTCTGACATTTTATTGACTTCCATTTGGGCTCCTGAAAGAAACAGAACTTTTCTTGTTTTTCCTATCTTTCTACTACCTATGTCAAGAATAGATGTCTCTTTGGGTAGGGAGAGAGTGGAAACATTTACCATGCTATTTCTAAAGGAACTGATAATTAACATTTCAACAATCAATTCAATCATGGTTACAACAGCCTTGATGACCACCCCTGAAACACCGCCCACGAGGCAAGAAGCCCAGAACTGGTTTTCATGGTTTTTTCAAACATCAGAACCCAAGAGTCATCTTCATACAACAACGAAGATGCCTGGTAATAAGTTACAGATACTATATATTATATGCCTGCCTGACAGCCTTTAATAATTCTCATTAACCTATGGGATGTGGTTAAAATCTAAATGCCATTCTGTCTTACAGGTGTATCTGTCAATTTAGGAAATATCAACTCTGACATCTTTATTTTGTTTTAATATCACTAATACATGATTTTTCTTCTCTATACTTTATATTAGTAGATATATCCTAGGATAAAATTAATTAGGAAATTGTAAAGTGGGGTAAGTTTTTGGTGGTAACACAAAATTTCAACTTTAAAAGATTATCTTGGCACATTCTCAAATTAGCAAAATCAAAAAAAAATTATGAGAATGTAAAATAACAAAGGCATAGCTACCAAAATATGGTAGATTTTTATCAATTGATTTAGTTAGACACCAATAGTAAGAAAACCAAATGGTGATCTCATAAGATAGCCTCAATTGCATTCGAAAGTTAGAAGAATCCTTTTTTAGTAAGAAGACACCTTTTGCAGTATATATACTGAGAAGAGGTCAAAAATTTCCATTTTCTTTTTAAAAATGGCATCCAAATTGAAAGTGAGAAATTCTCAAAATCTGGACTGCAGTTCACTGTCATCAGTCCTTTTGGTTGATCAATAAATGACAAGAACATTTCTGTTAACTGACCTTTTCTTCCTCCATGGGAAGTTTTATAGAGGATGAATAGTGTTCCTTGTATTCACATTAGGAACACAGCATGTGATGAAAGATAAAGACTGAGAGACCACAGGTACCTTTTTAGAAATGTTGAAACAAAACCCCTTACTTCATATAACCAATGAACCCTGATAAGGAGTAATAATAAAAGAAAACAAATGAATTTTAAAAATATGTTTGTAACTATAGAATTTTAGGAACTTGACATTGGGGTGTTACTGAAAGTGTCTTGACTGTGCAAATAGGGATATGCAAAACCTTCCCATTCTTGTCCTGACACCTTAGCTTTAATAGAATATTATAAAGATGGAATAAGAAAGACATCTGAAAGCAATGCGGAATTTGCATGGATCTGTGTTTTGTTGTGTTTTTCTCTAACTTCTTAGGTAGGCTCTACCTGTAGTTATTCTTAGCCTCCTTAAAGAATGTTGAGTTGAAAGATCATAGCCAATTGTTTTAACGTCCAGGTATCAGCTTCAGATATGAGGCTATATAGATATACAAACCTACTTTTTCACTTTCTTCTTAAAATCTTGGGAACTCCATAACGCCTCCCATGCCTGGCTTTCCTCCTTGGTTGAAATGGGTTCCTTGGTAGCCAGCTCAACTACTAATGCAAGTCACCACAACAGGTACGGAGTCAAATACCAATCCAACAGGCTGGGAGCCAAATGAGGAAAATGAAGATGAAACAGACAAATTCCCCAGTTTTTCTGGATCAGGCATTGATGATGATGAAGATTTTATCTCCAGCACCAGTAAGAATAACCAATTACAGTAGAACCATATATGCAAGGTTTGCTGAGGGACCTAAGTGATGATACAGTATCTCTCTTGGGAAGCAGATGACGTAAAAAATGAGTGAATCTATATTTTACTTTAATTCCATTCTGATGAGATTTTGGAGGAGGAGATAAAATGGAAACCAATACATATTGCTGAGAAAAATAGATCCCAAAGTTTCCAATACTTCGTGTTCTGTTTATCAGTATCTGCTCTAACAGGTGTGACTAGAGAATGACATATTAAAACACCATAACAAATATTCACTGTGTCCTTGCTGTGCCAGACGATGAGAACAAAAAGATGGAAAGACCAAAATGTTTACCTAAAGGAGGCTCATGGACTACTGGGGCATGTTAATGTGACTTGGAGGGCAGGGATTAAAAGTTGCATATGACTCTGAATTGAAAGCTTGGGAGGCCTTGGAATGGCTTAAAACATAGAAGCCAGAACTCAAGAACTTCCTTAATTAAGCAAAAGAAAAAAAAAAAAAAAGGTTGAAATCAAAAGAAAAAATTCAAAAAGTTTAAACCACTTGCTGGACACTAATATAACAGAATAAGAGTAGAAGGAAGAATAAATTCCAGCTAAGCTTTAAAAAGACAGTATTAATAAATAAAAGCAGATAGTGACACCACTATGTAACCATATGCAAATTTGTGAGCTCTACAATATCTCCTAAGGACATTGAGAGAGAGAATGGAGAATGTAGAGAAAAATGTCCCGTTCTGCCCAATGACTGATTTCCCTAAACTTGCCATAAGCTAAGATTTTGTTGGACAGAGATGAGAATCATAAACCTGATTCAATTAACAGTTGGAGAAGGAATTTCCGGGTATTGCATCAGCTACCTTAGACAGCAAGAACTTTATCCATCCCATTGGAGGATTTAATTGCCAAGTGAATAGCACCTAGGGTAGGTGCTAAAAAGCAGCTTGTGGCTTGAAGACATCTGAATGTGTAGCACTGATACAGCAAATACTAGAGACAAATCAGATATTCTATGTCCAGATTTAAGTGGTGCATTTCTCAGGCTGGAGTCTCTGCAGAGCTTAGGAACATTAGCAAAGAACCCAAAAAACCCCACACACTGAGCATTACCATGACAGTATCTTCTGGATTCAGGATGTAGCTTCCCTAGATATCAATCTCAAAAGAACCACTTACAAATGTGTTAATATGGTCACACTCCAGGGGATGTAGTTGTCATGTCATCTCCCCCCATCTTTATAGTGTGTATTCAATTTCACTTTTCTACTTAGCACCTAAGCCTTTTAATTCAACAGGAAAGTGGGATAACTACCATCTTTTTATGCTTATTAGAAATGTGGTTAATTACTCTCAAGTATTTTCTTAACTTGTGAAATGGTTTTGTTATCTGGGTATCAAAGTAAAAGTTGAAGGAAGATGAGCTTGCAAATAACCTTCTCAAAAAAGATATAGTTTCTGGCATTGTCAAACCTTTTGTTCCAGGCTTCCTATTTTGCATGATATCGGGGCATTGGTGAACTGACATGTCTTTGTTTTCCAGTGTGTTGTGCTGATGGTGGTGATTACTTCTTATTCTTTTCTATGAAAGTGTACATCTTGGTCCTTTTTCAGTGGCTGTGAATGGCTTGCTTATAAGATGTTCTGTATTTAATGAGAATCTCATTTTGGGTTATGTTCTGGAAAAAAAAAGTTAAGCAGAGATTCTTTCCAAAGACCATCTACATGAAAGCTTTGGCTCTTGTGGTTATGTCCCCCCCTCCCCCGCAAAATCACTAACAAAATAGTGATTCCTGTGTACAACTCAGCTATGAACTTCTTCAGCTTGAGAATCTACAGCTAGTGTACGTTCCAGTGATACCAACAAATGGCTTAAACCTTCCAGATGCAGAGGGCTCCTACAGTTTGCATGGATGGGCTAAACTCTTCACATCTTTGGTCATTCTTGGTGGAGGGCTAATATCTTCAAAGCTGTTTTTCCTGCTGCTGCAACCTCCTTGGCTATTTTATCCAGAAGATCTCATGTTCTAAATGGAAAGGACATTGAGATACAAAACAACATGGTGGATGAAGCTGAAGGCTCTCTCCTTTCTCTCCATTTCCATTCAACCATCTCTACATCCTTGTATAGATGAGCTGGTGTGTAGACGACAGAAGAATGAAATGCACAAAGCAAACAGTGAAGGCTCCAGAAATAACATTTTTCTAATTGCCTCAATCATCATTATCACAGTTTCATCCACCCCACGGGTTTCTGACCACACAAAACCAAACCAAGACTGGATCCAGTGGAAGCCAAGCCATTCAAACCCAGAAGTACTACCTCAGACAACCACCAAGATGACTGGTAATGAGTTATGCACACTTGTTAATGATATTCTCCCTCAAAGCCTATGATGCTGTGAAGGTCAAACATCCGGACTCAGTGGGAAATTTAGTTAATGTCTCATCGCAAATCCTTAGTGAACTTTCATGAGGGTACTTAACTCCACATGGGATTCATTTACCAACCATACTACCTAGATACAAGGTATTTTATGTCATTTTGCTATAAAAATGAATCCATATGGTTTATGGTACTGTTTCTGACAAAGTGATTATTCTGGAATAATAGGTAATATTATAGAAATTTGTACCTGTTTATTTTCTTTGGAGAAGGATTAGTGAAATCACTCAGATTTATTGAGAGTAAGTGCTTAGAGATAGTCCTTAGGCATGGGACAAGTAGATAACATGTTCTTTAGTAGAAGAAAAGGATTATTAAAGACTATTTGATTAAAAGTCACAGTGTACTTAACCATCATCACAACAGATGTAGACAGAAACAGCACTATTGTTCATGGAGAAAATTCGACCCAGGAACCACAGCCTCCTTTCAATCACCATGAGTATCAGGATGAAGAGGAGACCCCACATGCTACAAGTACAAGTAAGAAGGATGGTGCTCTGAAGTTCTAGTACCCAAGTTAGCAGAGATGTTGTTAGCTGTTGGCCACAACTTTTGTCTCTGCAAAGTAATTTATCTGCATAGCCTGAAAGGGGCCAGATCTGCCCACAATTTTTTAATATAAGGAAGAAAGATGACAAGTTGTCAGGCTTTCTGAGAGAAGAAAATGCTTCCAAAGTGAATATGAAATGCCATTTTGTGTTAATGATTCCTAATGATTCTGTTTTGATGGTTGGTGTGTGGTTTTGGAGATGTGTTCTGGGAATATGTTCCTCAGGTATTTAGTGTGGGATCTGGAAGGAAAGCTTCATGTGTGGGCAGATCTTTGAAATTATCTTCAATGAAGACCTGTGATACATCCAGTTTCTTATTTCCACACTCTCTTCCTTGCCCTGTGGTAGAATGGTACCACTGTGTCCTTGGTGGAAAATCAGGCCTCACATGGTTTCCTTTCAAGTGCTAAGCTACCCGTCTTTTGTTAAAAAGAAAAAAAAATCAGGACAACGTGGGAAAGGCCCTGATGCTCTTATTGTTATTTCTACTTACAGACAAATATCTCAGGTTTTTCAAAAACAATATTGTGTTTCACCACTGGATTATGAACATAGGACAAGAAAACAAAGAAGTGAAATGTATTCATATTTCATCTGTATCTCAGAGGGATGCCTACTTTATTTGGACTAAAACTAATCCTTGCAATAACATCTTGTAGCACTTTTAAAAATATGGCTCAAGCACCATTTTCATATTCTTGAATATTCCTAAAAGGGAAATATAAGAAACAATGGTGTAGGAATCAAAGATCTGAGAAATTCCTGGTTCTAGGGATGTGTTCAGTCAATCAAGGAAAGTTTGAGATATGGGTTAATAAGTTCTGGGCATTGTACTGTATGTCTGACAGATGTTGCCTACTTACCCCAGTTAATTTGATATATGCATAAAGATTAAGGGGTTGAGTTAACCAAGAAATAGACTGTGAAAAAAAAAAAGTGTAGAGAGGAAACAGGACCCATCCCAGTCTTCCCTGGGTTCTAATAGCTCTCTTATAAATAATTGTAAAACAGTTTGCATTTAAGCAGAATGCTACTTAAGAAGCTTAGATTCAATGCATCTAATGTCAAAATATGATGGACTTGGGACATCCTTCCTAGGGTATATTTAAAAATCTAGATACAGTTAACAAAGAGAAGTTATCATCAGTGATTGCAAAATCCACAGTGGTAACCTGTAGACTTCATCAAGAGGACATTACAACTCTAAAAAATAGTCAACCCTTATGGTTTACAGTGGAAGTTCTCTGTTTTCCTAATCCATTCCTGACTATACTGAAAATGCCAGGGCATGGTTGGACACTTGAAGGATCATTATATTTATACAATAAGTGATAGAGTGAATGTAGACATATGTGTGTATTTGCGAGCACACATGTATACTTACTTATTCTTTGAGTAGCATAGAAGTCTAATTCTTAACTTTTACTTTTAAAAATAACTATATTCATACATATTTAGCTTTATTATTTGTTGAGAGATAGTGACTTAACTAGTGGAAAAATAACTAAAGATTTGGGTCTCCCTCTCTTTAGATAATCAGTTAATCCCAGGAATGGTTTGGAAAATGAAAAAGGCAAAATTAGCATGAGTTTCATTTTAAAAATATATTTGCTATTACAAAATCACACACATAATTTTCTAAGATAATGAGATACAGTGAATTTTGTAAGTCACGAAAGTTATTTTGGTTTGGCAATTTATAGGCTCTAATTTTCCTGATGAGTCAGAAGTTTGCTATGAACTGTTACAGATGAAAATGTCAGTGGCTTTCTGACTTTTCCAGGAAGCACCCTAATGGGATTCTATCCCAGTCATCTTGCCTTTATTAAACAGCATTTGAAAGGTTAAGCCTATCTGATACTGTTATCATTTATATAATTTCCCAACTGGCTAGAATAGTTTTTTGTTTTTCTTCCACTGAATTAGCTTTGTTCAGAAGAGATTTTTACAATTTAAAATGTCCCTAGACAATCACATGACAGTAACATCCCAGGCATTCCCACAGCTTGCATGCTATCTTGTTTCTGCTGAGTGTGGTGATAAGTCATGCAGCCCATTTGCAGATGTCTCCTACTACAATAGTGTTGTGGGTTGCCATGTAACACATTTCCCACTACAAAATCATTGGATCACAGAGATTATTCTTCCAACAGAAGCTCTCTCTGGCAGAATATGAGGCCATAAACAATATTAAAGTAAGAATAAGACTTAAAATTCATAATCTACAGACTAGGGTCTAGTCCTGACTTTGTGCTACTCTGGGTACATCATTTTTAGCAAATGAAACTTCTTTTCCTATCTGGAATATTAAAGGATTGGAAAATTAAAAATTTTATTTCTAGAATCATCTACCTTTCAGGATATAAGTAGCTTATCCCCAACTACTATTGTCATTATCTATCTATCTATCTATCTATCTATCTATCTATCTACCTACCTACCTACCTACCTACCATCTATAATGAATGTATGTATACATGAATGTATGTGTTTATCCATCTTCTATGTAGGTATGTATATAGCATTTATCTATCATCTATGTGTCTATAGTATATGTATGTAGTATGTATGTATGTAAGTATGTATGTATGTATGTGTGTATCTCTCTATCTACCTACCTACATATCTGTCTCTACCCTTAATGTAGACAGACATATCAAAGGGTTTGTTAAGAACCTGGACAATATGGCTCACCATCAGCATTCTCCTCACAGCCTGGGCAGCTCCTAGTAGTACAGCAGAAGAAGCAGCTACCCAGCAGGAACAGTTTGAGAATGGATGGCAGGGGAAGTACTCCCCCACACCAACTGAAGACTCCCATGTAACATCAGGGGCAACTGGTAATGGAGGGTTTTACAATGTGGGTGGAAACTACCTTCTGAGTTCAATGTTGGGCATTGAAAACGTGACACAAAAAAAGACACTGAAGAAATTGTTCAGGGTGTTCAGTCTCTTAATACATCATATTGAAGTAAACATAGATCCAGACTGTTAATGTTCTTAATAAGCTACCTGGCCAGACATAGATAGAAGCACATGAAAGAAACAGATTTAATCTCTAAGTGTGTGATTTTCACATCTAGTTTGAGGCATCACCTACTGAGACAATGACAGAGACAACTATCTAATGAAAACTCCTTTTCTGCTTCCTAAAAAATTTACTATATAACACAATTCTGCTTTTTCCTTATATTTTTGTGAAACAAAATATAAGATATAAAAAATATAAGAAAGAATTTTATTAGAAATCTAGTGTTGTGGGTAGATTCAAGCATTACAAGAAAAAGAAAGATACCTAGGTGATGTCATCTGAACTTTTGTTCTTACCTGCTTTGAATATCTCCTCGAATGTACAACTGTTTAATCCCATTTACAAATAAGTCATCTTCTCCATTCTGGAACTGTGGGGTTGTGGGAATTAGACCTAAGTCTTTACATCTCTGAAGGATGCCAGATGATAACGTGTCTCTGCAAGACCCTGTGCATGATTCCTTTGTCTGCATGACATTAAGCATTGTGATTCACCCTGCCCTGCAAAGTGTGTGAATTCTACATTACCATTTGGTATCAGTGGGAAATATCTCCGTGTTTCCATCTGCAAAATAGATTCTGACACATAACCTCTTTGCAGTGCATGGCAACTTGTAAATGAATCACTAGCAGAACAGTGGGTTTGGTGACTGGCTCCTTGGTGTGTTTGTTTCTGGGGAATGCTACTGTAATCTTTCTTCCTATACTTCTCCAATGGCACAGAATGAAACAAAGGCATAAATCACATGCCATGTCTCATTGTTAGAAGGCAATGTTTCTGATGGACTCCCTCTGTGCTTTTGTGATGAGTAGCACTTTCATGCTCATCCCTTGGGAAGCTTTTACCTGATGTACTCTGTTTATCACCACCAGCTCATGCATTCCACTGCGGGTGGTACTTGTCTCAGAGTGACATCATGCACTTGAGCTTTTACACTGCTTCCTTTAGGGGACTGTGGCAGCATGTGTTGACAATTACTTCATCTTCCCTTGATGCCTATAACTCATCCTCTATCCATTACAGCACTTAATGCTATGCTTCCTCCAACTTGCTGGTGACCACGAAAAGGAGCACAAATAGAACTAAACCTGGGAAAACTTTCTAAACTGATGCAGCTCCTTTGTCCTCAGTGCTAGGAACTTGTTTTCATTATCTTCTCTAGAGAATAAAGTGGTTTTTTTTTTTTTTAAGTCAGTCTATATATCCCTGCCCAAATGTCAATTAACATTTTGACAATTGTTTGAACTGCATGATGACTACAGCCTCAGCCCACAACAACCATCCGAGTCAAAGAATGACAACACAGAGTCAAGAGAATGTCTCCTGGACTGAGTTCCTCAACCCAATCTCACATCCAATGGGACAAGGTCATCAAACAGAAAGGAAGGGTAAACAGCATCTGAGACTTTTTAATATATATTGTTTCTTAGAATCAATTATGTGTCTTTTCCCTTTGAAATGTACTGTTGATTTTAGTTCAGTCTACTTTTCTAAGCATCCTGGTGTACTTTCAAAAATTAGGTTGCTGATACAAGTTGGTAAGGAGCAGATAGATATACACCTCATCTATGTGCACAGTTCTAGTTAGAGAGTGAATAATTTTCCAGGAAGATTAAGGACTGGTCAGTCTTAGGCTGATAAGAGTGGAAGTTATTTAAACCTAGGGCACAGGTGCATTGTTTCTTACTTTAAGATGGTCTTTCTTACTACATGTCCCATCAATTCTTGATGATCCTTCTGCCTCAGTCTCTTGAGTGCTGGGATTGCATGTACTATCATGCCTGGCTAAGAAAGGGATATTCTTAAGATTCCTTTCCTTTTTAAGTACAAAGATTTCAAAAGAAAACATAAATAATGGATCCAGTGACTGCATCCATTATAGATTCAAAGATAAATTATTGTTTTGGTAGACAAGTCTAAGTGGTAAAAAAAAAAAAAGAAAGAAAGAAAGAAAGAAAGAAAGAAAGAAAAAGAAAATGGTGTGGCTAATGCAAGTAAACAATGGGATAACTCAGAAAACTGTAAAGTTATTTATTGTTGCCTCATTTAAAGATAATGTGGTATTAAAGGATTTAGTATTTAGACCATTCTGGGCCCTCCTTGAATGACTATGAACTTAATGAATAGACAACTTGCACATGAGACAAAACTTCTATTTTCTTAATGCCTTTCATTTTTATTTACACGCAAGTAATTTAAAAGCAGAAAGCAAAATGTATTATAGTTTTGCAAGAAATGAAGGTTGTGAAGTATTTGACTGATTTTCGTATTTAAAAGCAACTTTCCTGTTTAAAGTAAGAACAGCAACCTGCTTGAGAGAAACATCAAGAATGGGTGGCTATTGTCCTCTTAGGATTCAACAACTAGAAGACTGTGTTTCTACTAATGTAACATCCCAAAATAACCAAAAGCAAGGTTTTGTAAATTTTTCCAGAGAAGTTTCAGTTAGATGTATTTTCTGGATATAAATTACCAACCATATGTGCTACATATATCTGACTGAAATACATTCTAATAGCTCAATGAGTATATCTCCATATTGGATAGCTACAAAATTATCTCCAAAGTAAATCCAAAAACTTCTGTTTTTAAGAAATACTACCTTATGTTAAATATTAGTTAACACATATCCCATAAACAGCCACGTATGTGAGATAAGGATTAGATGCATAAGACATCATGGAGATACACAGATGTATAATTCATATTCATGCTTAAAAGAAGCTTCAAAGTCAGCAGACAAAAGAAAATATTAAATAGCACAATAAATCTGAAAAACTTGAGTCAGTAATGGATAGAAAACTTATGTTTTCAATAATGAACACAGAAATCTAGAGGACCACACACTTCCCAGAGACTATTAAAGAACAAACGTCTTAATGTGATTTAAAAAAAAAAAAATGTGAAGACCTGGCTAGTCAGAAAAAGGAAGTAAGATGGAGGATGTTTTAAAAAGAAGACTCATGTGAACAGATCTATAAAGGAAGAAAAGTCAAGGAAGGAGTACATCACTGTGAGTAGTTAAATGTGTCCTAATAGAGAGGAAGTGTTTAAATGGCTGGGACCATTTTGTTGAGTTACTGATGTGCCATAGGCATGACCCAACACACAGTTTTATGTACTTAGCTCCTGTGGGTGGAACTCTGAAGAGATTTATGGTAATAAATAAATAAATAAATAAATAAATAAATACATTCAGTGAGATAATTCCAGAATCATTATTAGGTGTCCCACCTGAAGAAGAGAGAAAGATTACATGTCATAGGTAAATACATCAAGAAAAAGATGTTAGATCTCATAGGCAGTCCAAATATCCAGATAGGACTATAAGAGGATTTCTGGTGGTTAGATAAGGTTCAGGATTCCTCAGGAACTTGTGAAACCAGTTCCCATCTGTCAAAAGGAGTCATTTCTCTTAGCTATGGCAGGAAGGACATATGACTCTCCATTGACATATACCTGTGGCTGCAAATCAAAGCCCATGCTGGCCTCCAAGATCCCTCCATCACAATTCACAAGTACTTGTTACATTTCAAAGTCCCCTGTGCCAGTCTCTTGGCTCTCCCCTCCCCATAGCTACTCACCCTCCTCATATTCCTTATTTTTTTTTTCACTCTGTCAGTGTTTTGTTATCTATCTCTTGCTATCTTGCTATCACCATTATTCTTCCCACTCCCCCTCTTTCCTAGCCCCTGGCTATGTCCAGTCTGCTGGCCATGAACATCTACTTTTTCCTTTCTCTGCTCCGGACTCTTCCAAATGCCTCTGGCTGTTCTCTCTCTCTCTCTCTCTCTCTCTCTCTCTCTCTCTCTCTCTCTCTCTCTCTCTCTCTCTCTCTCTCTCTGTCTCTCTCTCTCTCTCTCATATCTACAACAAAAACCTTAATCATGTGATGAACTGGTGGTCAAGTCTGCAGTTTCTTTACATCATTTCCTCACATACACGTGACAGCTTCAATCGTACAATGACATGGTAGTTATCAAAGAATTTTACTCATCCAAGGAAAAGTGAGCAAGGGTAGATGCAGACACTCATCAGACAAGGCCATTTTCTGGTAGGGTATCCATTTGAAATTTTGAGTGGGGTAACTGGCCTTTCTTCTTTAAAATCGGGATGGTAGAGCGAGGCACAAATTTTTTCTCTAACAGAGATCTTGTCTGTCTTTACTTTTCACATGTAAAGACTGGAGTCCCCAGGGAGGTGCCCCATATCCCAGTGTTTCCCACTGAAGCCATTTGGAACTGATTAGATCTTCCCAGAGGCAATGGTGTGGGTAACTGAGAAAATTGTAGAGTTAACAATATTGATGGTGTTTAAGGGCTGTATGGCCTCTATTTCACTCTGAACTCATTTTTCCAGCCAGTAACAGAGCTGTGATAACCATCAGAAAAAAGGCAGTCTTTTTAATTACCTCAGGGATGTTTCACACAGCTCAACACTATAATCAGAACTGCCAAGATGGTTCTTTCTTGTATTTATGGGAAGAATGACTCTTGTTTGTCTATGGGTACTTCCTGTTGTCTCAATGTAGTTATAGTGGGTTATGTATATATGTTCTTGTGTTTCATGTTTACTTTGTAAAGCAAAAACAAAAGAACAAAAATAACCAAATAAGATAATCCAATGGCTATTTAAAAACTTTTCATTGGTGTTTTGTTTTGTTTGGCCTGGTGAGCAGGAGGTGACAAAATGATGCTTTTGTGTGTGTGTTATTTGTCTCCATGTGTCTGACTGTACTTGTCTGCCTTGGAACTGAGCAAATCACACATGGGCTACATTTCTGTCCCTTTGCAAAGACTGTGAGCCTCCTTGTGTGCTCGTGCGACTTCCTTCCAGACTAAACAAAACAAGCAAACAAATATGTGCACATATACTGCGGTATTCTTAAAGAACCAATCATTTGTCACTGTCTGAACATGTGGTGAACTTGTTTCTTTCCTCTTATCAGGTTGAATGTAAAATTTACTTGGCTGTAAGACAATGGTCTTTGGGCAATAGCATAGGGAATAAGGCAGTAACACAGATTTAATTCCCTCAGATACGGACCTCAGTCATAGTACAACCCTTCAGCCTACTGCAGCTCCAAATACCCATTTGGTGGAAGACTTGGACAGGACAGAACCACTTTCAGTGACAACTCGTAAGGACAATGACACACAGCTCCTTTATTGACCTGTCTTCCTGCTTCACTTCTGCTCACACTGGCCAAGATGTCACATTTGGTGGTGGAATGGTGTAGTCTTTGTTAGGTGGCTCAGCTTAGTCAGGGGGTGAATCTGTTTTTATTGTCTGTCTTTCTTGTGGGGGTTCTCTAAACCTGGCTTTATCTTCATTCAGGGTCTCCTTCAGAGCCAATGATTTTTTTATTATTATTATTAACAAAAGGATATGAAGGCTTAATCATCTCCATGTTTCATCTCTAATTCTTCATGTGAATGACACTGAAGACCATCACTAGCAGAGTGGTTTCTCTATATTTTAATACACTCCTTTCGATTCCCACACATCTTCCAGCCAAGGAAGGAGAAAGATTGCTTTAATGATGGTGTAATATGAGGGCCAGATTATCATAGTGATTAGAGAAATTGCATTTAGATTTGAGAGGAGGAGCAAGGCATGTTGTTAATAACTGACCAGGGTGGCGGAGTCCCTGGGATTAAAAAGAACTATTTCCTGACATATTTTTCTATCCTTAAACATCTTCCAAGAAGAAATATGAAATTTTTAGTTCCCTTAATTTTTACTGTGTGTATAAGGATAGCCCAAGGATCAACTTAAGTCATTCACAAATCCTTGGAAGATTATCAAAGAAATCCCCAAATTAAGACAGCTTCATTTCACTTCTTGCTACATATAGTGGGGAGAGTCCTTTATAGGAACCCTTTAGGCATAGGGGAAAAAAAAGCCAGCATGCATGTATTGACCATCATTAATGTAAACATCAGTGTTAGGCATCAAAGGAGAAAAAAATAAGCCTATAAATGGCTCTTGCCAATGCAGGACTTGTATTTCCATTTTGTGTTACTGTTGGCTTTGGTTTTGATGTTGGAACTGGGATTTAGTGAATGCCTCTCTCTCCTCGTTATTTTCATTTGGTGGTGGACATGGCTCATGTGCATGTTTAATGCAGCCTTTGCACCCGCACCTCAGAGGTCAGTCAGTGCCTTCCTTGGAAGAACACAAAAGAAAAGAACTTAAAACCATCAAAGTAATTTCAGATTTGGGCAATGATTCAATCTCAAATTGATCCATGTCACTGAGGGTCCTGTGTTTGCCCAGGCAAGCATTTCCTTGGTGCAGTGAAGAGAAACCCTGTTATAGGTGAGATCACAGCCTACTAATAAAGCAGTAACTAGAATGCAATGCTCTCTACAAGGGCACCATGTATTCCCCTGTAAAATCTCTCTGACTTAATTGATGGAGATGAGCTTTTTCTTTTGTGTTCACAGACACACAACATAACACTGTTTTCTTTATGACTTTTCTTTGTTCACAATTTGGCAAGTTTAATGGTTGGGGAAAAACTGAAATTAAAGCTTCACTTTCCAGGCCTCTGTGATTTTTGTTTCCTGGGGATACTTGGTAAAGCTGGGTCAAGGTGCTCCAGGCAGGGCAAAGTTTTGACTTGGGCTTCACTTTGGAACTGCACTTAGAGAAAAAGAAGCTAACTAGGGATAAAGTATAATTTTTCTATATATTTCTATCAATCAGCAGATGACAAAGGGCACAAGTGTCATTCTCCCTTTGTATCTGTCCAGCTGCTATCCTATAGCTAGGTTATCCATATAAATGGGCAGCAAAGGACTTGTGTCATGGTTCCTATCTAACACTAACTTCATCCCTCATTGAAACAGCACAGAGTCATTCTCAGAACTTCTTTACATCACATGGAGAACTGGAAGAAGACAGAGACCACCTGACAACTTCTATTCTGCCATCTAGCAGTAAGGATCAAAAAGCCCAACTGCCTTTGGCTATTTAGCAGAAATCAATAAGTTCTGATATCTTTGGTGGTGGTATCCATTGCTGATTTTTATACATTAATCTTAATATATCTGGTGTTTCTGGTGGTGGTCTCTGATTCTCCTGCTTTATAGACCCTTTAGAAGCCATTGTATATTAGGTGCAAACTTTTCTGCTGAATTGGTTTAGAAAATGATGATTGTTTCTATAAGATTTTCTTGAAATTCATTACATTAACATTAACATTACTTCCATTTTGAACCACAACTCCACAATATTGGTGACTAAGAGGCAATGCCCTTCTGGCACACAAATGATTATGTCAGGTCTTTTGGATCTTGAATTTATTATTCCAGTTGCAGACAGATGGAAATCTGTTTCTTCCTCTTCCTCAGAGGTGGATCCAATTGAGGAAAAAAAACAAAACAAAACAAAAAAAAAAACAAAAAACAAAAAACTTCAAAATCCTATAGTACCTGAGTTGAGTTCAAGGTCACAATGGAATTAAGGTCCCCTTAATGACTCAGACAAATCTTGTAAGAAATGCCTCTTGTGGGTAGTAGTCACCAAAATCTCTTCTGTTGAGTGTTATCTGGCTGGTATCTTTTGTAAAACATTGTTTTTATTCAGTACCATTTGCTTTTGGTCTTGGACAACAAGTAGAAAGATGTCTCAGCAACTTTTACCTTCTGAAGACAAGCACACGGTGGGTGGTGACCATACAGGTGTGGGCTTGTCATTGACTCCACCTCCACACAGCTAGGAGTGGAAGAAGAGGTACAAGCCTTCCCAAAGACACAACTACTTCTCTGGAAGGCTACACCCCTCATTACCCAGACCCAATGGAGAATGGGACTCTCACCCCAGTGACTCCTGCTAAGACTGGGGTCTTTGGAGAAACTGAAGTGACTGTTGCTGCAGACTCCAACTTTAATGTTGATGGCTCCTTACCAGGTAACTTGGCCATTTGTCATCTGGTTTGCTTCTCTGGAGAAACAATATCTATTTTTTCCTATTCTAGGGAATATTTTCTGGGCAGGCTATGATTAGATTACTTTGTGCCATGGGAATGTTTTTCACCATTGGTCATCAATTATAATGCCAGCAAACTTATTTGAGATAAAATAATGCTTCCATTTCATGGTGTAATCTCCATTTATTTTTTGTGACTTGGTGCTCATGGTAGACTTTCTTGCTTTGTCTTTTCTTCATTCTGTGGTATATTAACTTGAACTATGTGAAACTGATTCTTCTGTGGATTGAAATAGTTGAATATTAGCAATTTCACTTAATTCAGCTAATATATTTTGCCTATTTAGTAAAGCTTTACCAAACATTCAAATGGTTTTCATATACTGGTATCTTTCCTCTGAAATTATCTTTAATTGGTGATGGACTGGTTCATTTCATTTCTGGTGATGGGTTGGTATATGAACCTTTTCTACGTATGATGTACTTCACGATTCATGATCCTCACTTTTCTGTCATGGACCCAGCATGGGACCTTTCTCTCAAATAAGCAATGTTCTCTATGTCTCTTCTTTATTTCTTTGTTTGTATTAAGAAACTAATGCTGTAGAAAGGGGAATGAGCTTTCTGTGGCTATAGTCCAGGTACCTCTACCACTCAACCACTAACACATTAAAAACCTTAAACACACACACACACACACACACACACACACACACACACACACACACACTCCCTCTCTCTCCACTCTCCCAAAAGACAGGAAGAGGATTTCATGAGAATCGCATATGCAAAACAGATGGTAGTGGTGAAGTTCTGATTAACAAAGGGAAAGAAAACCCAGGATGTCATATGCATGGCATATTTCTTTTGGCTTCCCACTCCAGGGCTTCAAGAAAAGGAGCTTTAAAAATACTAAATTCAGCAGAATTAGCAAGCCCAAGCCCCTTTACACTCTGAAGGCGTTTGCTTAGTGTCCTTATTAATAACCTTCTTTTCTTCATTAAAACTTCCAAGTGCTGCTGTCAGATTCCTGCAGAACGAATCAAATCTAAGAGTGCCAGCAATGTTCTCATGCAAAAATGGTCCCATCCATCATGCCATTTCTAGTTTCTTAGGTGGTTTGCTGAATCTAACTGCTAGCAAGTAAAATGTTTTATACCAAATTAGTATGCACATGGGCTGATCCCACCTGATCAGTGTTAGAAAGGCAATGGTGTCTGTATTTCCTTCTGTTCTCTGTGAATTCAATGATTAGTAAATGGCCTAATTCTCATTCCTTGTTTCCTTCTAGAAGATTAACAAAGGATATTTCTGTCCATACATATTTCTCAATCTATACTCTCAATGTAAACCACTGGACCATGCAATGCATGATGCCGATGGGCCTGGTGATGGTGATGGCTTTGGGAAGCGGTGATTTTGGTGGTGGGACTCTCATGTGGTGTTTAAGCAAGTACTGTTGTCATTATTATAAGCATTATCTAAGGGGAAAAAAAGCAGTCTCTCATAAAGTTAGGAGCAATTCCAAGCAGCCCTCTCTTAACCAGGGAATGGTGATGAGCAGCTGAATGTATTCTCTTTCTAGGCACCATTGTGATGATCTGTACCAACCTTAGGAGCCCTGTGTATGTTTCTTACATGCTGAATCTAAGATTTCATCTTGGTATTTAAATTTAGCCCCTCTTGAGTTTGTCACAACCTATAGTTTTCTGATGATAGATATTTGAGAAGATGTGATCATATCAACAATTTTTGAAAATGCAGAAGTAAATTTGGAAAGAAAAGTTATCAGTTGAGATTTATTCTGATACCAGCTCTGTGTCAATTATGTTATTTGACAGTTCCTTTTTTCACTTAAGTTTGACCTTTCTTCTCTCTGGATAGTTTATTTTTCCCTTTGAGTCTTTGCCTTGTTCATCCCTAAGATTATTTTGTTTCAGACTCAGAGAAACCTCTTTCATTGTCTGAGTCAGAGTCCTGTTTAAGTGATTATATCCCATTATCATAGCCCTTATCCAAGCTAAGAAGTGTCCCATTCAAAACCCAGCCCCCAGGAAAGCATCATAGTATTTCCCTCCACAATATTCCTTAGCTCTGCTCTTGGATTTCTACACACGCCATACTTTTAGTGATAATTTGGGCCTGTGCTGCCTCAGTTTACTTAATTTTGATTAAGGCTCTAGTTCACTCATCAATGTCTTAAAGATGAGCAGTGACTTCTTCGATGTTTTTCTAAAAATACACCCCACGGAAATGAAGATGACAGTGTGAGTGGACACACAGTACTGACTATTTTTTATTTCCTATTATTATAGGAGACCAAGACTCATCCATGGACCCCAGTGGGGATTACCACACTGTAACCAATGGATCCGAATTAGCTGGTGAGTTTGAAATGTTTAGTCACTTACTATTATGATCACTGAACCTAATGGTTGTTAATGAAGCATGAGTCAGTGTCCCTAGAGAATTGTTTCACACTTTAAAAAGAGAACACTTGTATTTTGAGGGATAAGGAGGGCTTATTAAGTCACTTTGCTCAACCCCACCCTGAAGTTTCTGATTCAGTAGGTCTGGGGTGGAGCCCAAGCATTTGTGTGTCTAATAAATTCCCATTCACCCTGATACTGCTGGGTTGGGTACTACACTTTGAGAACCAACACTCTAGAAAAGGAGCTTCCATCTGAAAGGGTCTGGAAGAATACACACCAGTACTTTCATGCTGGCTATGGTTGTATCAGCTTGACACAAGCTAAAGTAATTGGAGAGGAGAGAGCTCAGTGGAGAAGATGCCTCTGTAAGATCTGGCTGTAGACAAGCCTATGGAGCATGTTCTTAGTGATTGATGTGGGCGGAGCCATCACATTGTGGCTGAGACCATTGCTGGGCTGGTGGGCCTGGGTGCTATAGAAAAGCATACTGAACGAGCACGAAAGAACAAGCCAGTAAGCAGCACTTTGCTCCATGATCTCTGCATTAGCTCCTGCCTCCAGCCAGGTTTGAGTTCTTCAATTGTGATATGTAAGCCGAGTAAACTCTTTCATCCCCAACTTGGTTTCTGTCATGGTGTTTTATCAATAGTAACCCTAACTAAGACAGCCCCCCATCTAATATTGCCCCCATTCCAGAATCACTAGGAGAACTCTTTTGACATAAAATAGCTTGTGGTTGATTCTCGTTCCTCTGTGTATAAACTGAGCAAGATGATCACAGGGTCTGAGATTCAGTGTCTTAGCTGATAGTGCCCTTTCAAGACAAATGACAATGAATACCTGGAAAGTATTTAGCATAATCCTGGTACCTGATAAAGTAGCCAGCATTTCAGAATTTACTGTATGCCAGAAAAATTAAGCAAAGCACATTTCATTTGTACATTGAAGTACATAAAACTGATATTTCAGTCGAGTAAGTAAGCTCAATGCCAGGGAGTTCATAGTTAATTTTCTATTAACTCATCTAATTACCTTGCAAACCCTGTAATATATGAAAACAGTATTATCACCTCCTTATTACTGATGAGGAGAATAAGGAAAGTGAGAGAAGGTAAGCAGCTTGCTAACTTGATATGACCAGAGAATGGTGGAGCCACGTTTTGGGCCTGGGGTCTTAGATTGCCCCTCCTAAGTCTGGTCAGGAAGAAAATTCCATAATGACCGTAATTACAGCCAGACATGCATTATTAAATAGATTGCTGTTGGCCATGACTCAGATCAACCCCTGAAAACATTACTCCAGGCAGCAAAATCTGACATGAGGCAAGCTTACTTTTAATCCCTGATGCTGGGGTTAAGAGAGGTTTCTGTCAGCATTTCCTACCATGAGCTCCTGATCATCACAAATCTATGTGGTCCACAGGGGACAGGAAATCCATATAAACTAGCACCCTCTGGTGTGGGCTTGAATAAACCTGCCTCCAGGTTTCAAACAAATCTGAGGATGAATATTTACAAGGTGGCATTGATAACATCCCTTAAATGTAGGAACTCTGGGGTGTAGGGCTCATTAGAAATTACCCTAAAGTACAGACAGATGTTTTGAGCTCACTGGGGTCCTTAGCACACTTACTTGGTCTTCTCCAGCTCTTGTTTCCTTGTCAGTAAGAAGAAAGATCATGCCACCTACCTGAGTAATCGAGGTTCCATGTGGAACATGGTATTGAGGTTGAGGATGTAAGCAGTTAAATTAGAAGGCTTAGCTTCCAAAACCAAGAGACCTCTACTACTGTGAGTGTGGTCTGTGGACCAGTTGCAGAGACTGCACACAGAAGCTTGTTGGGGAAGGTCTAATCTTGCCCTATCCAGACACAAACTGGATCAGGGTCTGAGTTTATCTAAGCTCCTCCCCCCACTTCAGCTGCTTTGTATGCTCCATTCTCCACTGCCCTTCTCACCATTAAAGCCAACTGAATGATCTCTGCCCATGTCTGTGTTGGAGCCCCGTGTCCAAACTGGTGTGCCCAGTGTCCTGCTTTGCAAAACTTGTTCCCCAGGCCTGTTCTACCCCTGAATGGATTTATGGAGCTCTTGGGCGCAAGGAAGCCTGCTGTTTCTGGCCTCTTGGGCTTTTGCTTGAAGTGAGAATCAGGTGGGTGGGAACTAGTCTTTTTGCTTTAGCTCCTGTGCAGGTGTCTATTGTTCAAACAGGAGGTTTCATCCTGCACACACCTAGTTCTTTCCTTGCTGGGAGCACTTCTTTGGAAAAGGAAAATAAATAGATTATGATCTATTAATGGCCTCCCTTTCAAATATCAAAGGCTGCCGTGTGTCAGACAAAAGAGACCAGTAGGAGTGACTGTGCCTTTACAGTGGTTTTCAAGGCCAAAGCTCTCCTCCAGTTTTGACGGTTGCTATGCCATGTCTTGTGCATGCACAAACCTGCCAATTGCCCAGGACACCGGCAGGTGGGTAGAAAAATTATCATGGACTCCTTTGAGGCCTGTGAAGCAGAGCCCACTCTCAGAACAGTGCAGGGTCGGTGGAAACAGCACAGAAGTTACTTTGCTCCATTTTGTGGGAGCTTTAGCAAAGCACCAAACTGTACAACCTGAAGCCATCGTATGTAGTTAGATTGCAGCATCCACTCGGCAGAGTTTAATGTTTGGCTCTCTCAGAAAATGCTTTCTTTTAAGCCCAGCCATCCTAGCCAACGGGCTAGCCAAAATATCCTGCCTAGGTTTTTCTCCCCTTGGTAGCCTTCAAGATTCCAGAACAGATTGCTATTTAGTGGCAAACAGTAAAGGAAGAAAGAAAACAGAAAACTAAGAAATTTCTTTTGAAATATGATGTCTTCCTTGGTTTGAAAAGGCATCTGGATTCTGACTCATAGGTTATCTGTCTCACAATGCTTCCTGCCAACTTGGGCTTTTTGTTTATTTCTTTGTTTTGCCTTTTAACAGTAGAAAGCATTTATTTTTCTATTATGTTTCACTGTATTAGTATAGACTCCAATAACCTTTTATTTGTAGTCAGAAAAAGCCAGTACTCCCCTCTTTCATGAAAAAGAAATAATGTGCACATCAATGCCTATATATGTCCTAGTTTGCTTTCTATTGCTGCGATAAAGATGATAACCCTACCTTTCCTTGGGTAGGAAGGTTTATTTGGCTTCCATATCCTGAGTCATGGTCCACTTTAGAAAGTTGGGGCAGGAACCTGGAGGCAGAAACTGAAGCAGAAACCGTGGAGGAATGCCACTCGTGGTTTGCTCTCCATGGATTGCCCAACTTGAATTCTCATACCACCCAGGACCACTTGTCCAGAGTGGCACTGCCCTGGTGAGCTGGCCCCTCCCGTAACAGTCACCAATCAAGAAAATTCCCCCATAGATTTGCCTATAGGCTAATGAGATAGAGGCATTTTCTCAATTGAAGTTCCTTCTTCACAGACAACCCATGCTTGTTAGTATCAAGTTGACAAAAAACTAAGCAGCACAAAGCATGTGATTTTTAGATTCACTTTAGACTTTCTGAAGCACATGAATACATTAGAAATATTATTAAAATGAAGATGTTGTTTCTGGAGGATTGGAACTAAATTTGAGATTTCCTCCATAGTGATGGGGTCCTGCTAGTGTACAGGACCACAGTTTGTAGGCAAGGTCTTAACCACAGAACATTACAACTACACATAGCTACTACTATCATATACCTCTGGAAACCTCTGTAGAACAACAATGAAGGTGTTTCTGTTATGATCCTCCTTTTATATGTGAGAAGACAGAGACTTAGAGATGATAACTTGGCTTGGCATAAGTTGCTAATGAGCTAGGTCCTAAACCCAGGGTGGACCATCACTGAAGCTCATATTAAAATATTGCCCATCAGTGTTCCTTGTAGCAAAAATAACATTTGTAAGCCTTAGCTTAGTCACACTGAACTTTCCTGGGAGGTGAGAAGAGAGATGATATCTTTTGTCTAACATTTTGTAGATGTCTGCATCTTGAATCTATTTATAGCATCTAGTGAGGCAGTGGTTGGAGGGTAGCCCAGGACAATGCTCTGGAAGAACTCCTGGCTATACATTCCAAACTTGGGCTGAAAGAGCTTGTTGCTTTTCTCCTTAGGACACTCAAGCGGGAGTCAAGACGGTGGGTTGAGCACAACTTCTCCTCCTGAGAGGAAACCTCAGATTCCAGGTGAGTTTCACCCTATGAAACAAATGTAAGATAATTACAGCAAGATTCTCAGAATGTCCTAGAAGAGGCCTCACCAAGTGCACAGCAGGCACCTCTTTGCAAGCTTAAGGATAAACAAAACTATGATAGCCTTTTCGTAGAAAAGGAGGGGCCTCTCTTTTTTCCCCTCTAAGCCCCTCATATCCTGGATGAGTTCACATTGAGGCCTTCCTCAAAGAACTAGTATGCCAGTTACATGAATGATCCCCCAGAAGACTCCCATGGCACACCCAGGTCCTTCCCATCTCAACCTAGTTCATCTCATATTTCTAGGACTGGATATGAAATGTGTAATTCTCTTTGCATTGATGGGAAGGACAGGGAGGAGATAAGGGATCATTGGTGTTGGGTGGAGTGAAAACATTCTTCTACTCCCCAAACTACTTTTCCTTGAGGAACAGTCTGTTCATTCAGCCAGAAGAAACGTTTTAGAAAGTATCACATGTACAGGGAGGGAGCTTTGACATCTGGCTGTCCCGTGCTGCAAGATTTAGCATTTGATACAATTTCTTCTTTGAGCTCAGGGTTGAAACTGAACATGTGCAAAGGGGGGATTCCACAAAGGAAGTTTCTCTGAATGTTGTAAATTACCCTTTTAATGTTTCCTTTGGGGGAGCCCAGAGCAGCTTCTCTGTGGCTTGCTCCTTGCTTCAGCTCCCTGGCCACCCGAGAAGGCAGAAAACTTCCAGGGAGGAGAAGACGGGAGATGGACAGGCTGAATTCAAGCAGGGGGATTCATCCTAGCATGTGAAAAGGGAATGTGGAACATAGTGGTGGAGATTAGGCAGAATGCTGGGGGAAATAACAGAACTAGCATCATCCCAACAGTGTCCCTGCTTTCAGTCTGACACAGGAGGAAAGAAAGACTTCCAAGAAGTGGTCAATGACGGGCAATTTTCTGTCTTTCTTTGTCTTCTTCTTGTCTTCGTTTACTGCACACATCTGCAACTGAACTGATTCAACTTGTCAGTCTTATTGAAGGCCAAGTTTAAAACATGTGCATAACATCATAACATTGCATTGATCCACAAGTGCTGCATAATTATCAAATAAACTTTAGAAAATACAACTTAGCAAGTGGATGGAAACGCAGAGCACTTACTGTCTATCCCACTACCCAAAATTATTTAAGTCTTAAAGATGTTTGTCCTAATGTTTTTCAAAGTAATTTATTTAAAAACTTCTGTACAGTTTAGTTAACATTCTCTGTTGGTCAGTTCCACTCTCCACGTCATTAGATATCTTTCCCTTGAATTATAGCACATAACAAAAGTGGATATATCTTGATTAATTTATGTAATGCCTCACCATTGGACATTAGATCAGTTTCAACTGCCATGGTTAGAAATAGCATGATGATGGACATCTTTACAGCCAACTTTGAGATCCTATAACTTTCTGGAAGTGTAACTTCTGAATCAAAAAGCATGGGTGTTTTGGGGTCTGTTGACAAGAGCAGCCAAATAACTGAAGTGAACGGCAGAAATCTATCTTAACACTCACCATAAGAATATGCTTTACCCACTGGGTTAGGAACCCCATCTTTGTTTTAAATGAAATATGAGGCAGATACTTTTACATAGGCAGGGAATATTTCTGTTAAGAGAAATATAAATTTCCTTTAATCTACTTAACACTTAACCAAAAGCATGTACAGGCATTGGCAGCTTGTTTGATTTGTTGTTGGAGATATCTTTTTTCCAGCAGGACTTGACTAACTGTGGATAAAAGATTAATGAGAAGCCTGTTGGATGGAACAACTACAACCAAGTTTGTCTGAGAATATTCTGACTGTACCCATTGGTCAGACCACTCTGCAGAGTTGACTAGGGTTTTGTTTGGAGCAGATCAATTTTCACTTGCATTTTTAATTCCATAAAGCATTTGTGAAGCTCATGCATGTCCTTTGGTTCACTCTCACCAGAATGGCTCATCATCTTGGCATCACTTCTGGCGCTGGCTCTGATTCTTGCTGTTTGCATTGCTGTCAATAGTAGGAGAAGGTAAGAGAGACCCCCATTCAGCTTTCCACTTTGAGGGATATTGTGGAACTTGGACTTTACATCCATGATGCTCTGACTATAGCCTGAAGCCCTGGTACCCTGGGGTCATGCATGGTTTTCGGTCTGACACCAGTCTTCCTGCATCAAGATTGTTCTTTAACAAGATCCCAGGGAGTCCAGTGCATGTCTTAGTTTACGAAGCCTTTCTTAGTCCCATTCTTCAAAGAAATAAAACATCAGAACTCCTCCTTTTAAACGGTGGTTGAATCTTACTGTTCTTAGATTTTCATGAACAAACTCTATAGTGACTATCTGATAAAAGTTATGAAATATATTACTGGGAAGTCACATAAAGTGCATATTCAGCCATTAGTTCATTAAACAAGCATTTATTAAGTTCTTTTATGAGTCACAAAATGTTGTATAACAAATCAAGAACTTGTCATCTTCTTTTGACCATTGGAAGCTTATGGAATCTTCTAGACTCTGCCCAAAGTTGTCATGGGTCCTGAGTTTATTTTGTTGTTTGTTTCTCTGTAAGGATGTTATTTTGTGTTTTCTGAAAGTTTCAATTGAAGAGATTCAGGGCATTGCCTAGGAAAATCTTTATCACAGTGGGGTCTATGAAGCAATGATAAACTTTCCTAGGCAAGAAAATAAGTTCAGCACCACAGAACAGGCAAATGGGCTGCTCACATCCATGAAACCTCTGCACTCCACCTTAACAAAGGCTCAGTATTATTACTAAAGTTTTATATACATACATACATACATACATACATACATACATACATTTCATAACCAGCCTCCTACTAGAATTCCACCCCAGGTGAAATGCAGGATCATAGTAACTCTAGCAGCAGGAGATGTGAACTTAATCCAGGGTACTCCAAAAAACATCTAAGTCTACATTCTTCCAAGACACTTTAAAGATTCATTGTTTTTTTCCAAAGTGTCTGCTGCAGACATTAAGCTTTTTTGTAAACAGCCTTTGGAGATGCCTCATGGAAGGTTAGAGTCTTCTGGCTAAACTGGGTTGCCTTTGCTGTGTCTCCAAATCACCTTACAGCCCTCCAAATGCCTCAGATTCTGAGATGTCTGGGAAGAATTATACCCTTCTTGTTGTTGTTGTTGTTGTTAGAAACAATAAGCAACTATTTTCAGTGCCCAGCATAGTCTTTGTAGGCTTTCTTATCATCTGCAGAAACCAAGTAATGCTGTTTTATTATATTTGGGGTTAATGAAAGTGCTCAATCAAGTCACAGCGTTGCTACCTATACTTTGATAACATAATGAAAATATAATCATGAACGCTGACCACATATGGAACCAAAACTGGGAGGGGGGGAAATCTAAGAGATCACCTCTGGGCTCCTATGACTGGATAGAAACAGGTTTATTTTTAGTTCAACTTAGATATGTAAGTTGGGGAAGCCCTTCAAAGAGTTTTTCTTCCTCTTGGTTTTCTTGTTTTCTCTTGGATTATTCTTGCTCAACTAAATATGAATTTCCTTTTATTTGGAATCAGCCTTTGATTCCAGATCCTAAGATGTATCACATATACAGTCCATAAGCTTTGCAGATGTCACTGTAGAGATGTCCCTGATGCTGTTGATGTGGGGGGGCTCCCCAAAACAGCTCAACTGTTCCTGAGAGCAGTTGGAGTCTGCACATTGTCACATTGTGACATCTTATCCCAAATGGTTCCCTGCCTCCTCAACAGCAGAAAAAAGGACCTCATGGCCTCTCCTCTTCTTGTCCCCAGGCCAGCCATCACCCTAGCAACAGGAAAACAGGGACAGGCAGAAGCTGGCTGAACCAGCTTCTCACCAAGAAAGCAGCTTCATGGACACCATAAATTACTGTGTCCTGATTTGATAATTGAAAACAGATTTGCCAAGCTGCTGAAGGGTGGTTAACAGCCACACAGGCCCCTTAATGTGTGTTGTCTTCCTAAAGCTAATAGCCCATCTCTAATCCTGTTAGGAGGCAAGAGCCTTTCTGCTTTAAACACTGCATTTAAAAGAGATATGGAACCCCATTTTCATCCAAGAAATTTTGGTGGAAAATGAGGCCTCCAGAGGGGATTCATTTATTCAACACATCTTTTGTAGGCTTCTATTGCTGTTAGTCCTCATGAGGAATGAGAGAAAATGATGACCATGTTTCTTCTTTAAAAGTCTTGAGGCTTAAATGTACTGAGCCTCAGACCTATTATGAGCTGTAAAGATGGTTCAGCTAGTAATGAATTGCTGAGCACAAATGAGGCCCTGAGTTTCATATTCCCAGAACCTACCTAAAAAGCTGGTCATTCATGGTGGTGTGAGCTAACAATCCCAGCACTAGGGAAGCAGATCAAAAGTCTCTCCCTGGAGCTTGCTGGACAGTCAGTCTAGCTCCAGGTTCAGTGAGAGATCCTGCCTCAAAAAAAAATAAGGGGAAAAGTGACTCAAGAAGACATCTAACATCGACCTTTGGTCTCCAATCATGTGCACTCAGGAGCCCACAGACCTGCACATGCACAAACACACATGCATGTTCACATACACAATTGCACACACACACACACACACACACACACACACTTGCACGTGCATGGGCACACACACACACACACTTGCACGCGCACGGGCACACACACACACACACACACACACACACACCTACCTTACTGATTCCATCTAGCCACTATTGATAACACCTTGGTGGTCAATGCATCAATCACAGATACTAACACTGAGGGTCCATGGCAAAGTTCTCTGAGAGTCACAGCATCTTAAAGGTGCTGGGGGGGGGCTCAGAGAGGTGGCTCAGCAATCATGAGCACTGGCTCTGGACCTCTGTACTTTGGCAGTAGCAAAATTACAGTTATGAAGTAGCAACAAAAATAATTTTATAGTTGGGGGAGTCACCACAACATGAGGAATTGTATTAAAGGGTCACAGCATTAGGAAGACTGAGAACCGCTGATTTAGAGTAACATTTGGGTCCTGCCCACATGCACCTGCATATTTTTATACACAGAGCACTTTCCTTTGTTTCTCATTCTATCCCTCAACTCTCTGGTTGATAAGCAATAAGCTAGTGACTCCTAGTTATGTCAGGCAATTGTCCTCTAAGAAAACAGTCTATGCCACCTAAGAGTTTGGAATAATACAGCAGTGTTATTATTCCACCAGTGCTTAGAGGAAGGCCAATGGTGTGCTGTGGCTGTGAGGGTCAGAGCCCCAATCCTGGCCGCTCTAGCAGTGGACTTCCCCACCCATTCCCAATAGGGTAGTTAAACAGGCAAGTCACGGTGAAAAGCAGACAAAGGGGAGGTAGCCAATTCTGGCCACATTGGGAAGAGGAACAAATAAAGCTATCCCATGACAACCCTTCCCCCAGTCCATCTTCAGAGTCCAGACATGAGGTTAAGGTTTAAATAGAGGACAAGAGGTATGGTCAGCTAAGTGATCATGGTGAAGGCATGATCCTATCCATCGTTGGCCCAGCATTGTCATAACTCCAGACTGCCCCGCATGGACAACTTATGGGAACTATGTGAGCTCTCTATCCCAAAGACAAGTTCCCCTCTGGCTGGTCCCAGGATTCAGCCTTTTTCTCCCCACAAGTATGAAGTTCTTGGGGGAAATTCCCATTTCTTGGGAACTCTTGTTTCAATGGTCTGATAGCCCAAAGGACGGGCACAAAGGTCTCTATAGGATGTTGTCATCTCTGTCAGGTTGGTTACCATGGATATGGATGCAGCTGAAGAAACCACTAGAGTTCATATCACATGGCTTTTATAACATTAACAACCACGGCCAGCACTTCTGAATGTTTACTGTATTCCAGGTTCTCTCCTGATTATCCCAGGCCTTATTTCGTTCAACCCACATTATTCATAAAGCAGTAAATAGCAGCAGTAGACCAACTATTGAATTCCCTCTGTTTGAAGTACTTGCCCTGATCCTGTGAGGCTGATAGTCCAACAGCATGATTCCACAAGTACATGTATAAACTGAGGCTCAGAGAAGTCAAGTAAGCTGCTTCAGGTCACACAGCTTTTTAAGATTTCAATACAAAGCCTTCTAAAGCCCTTCACCATGCATCCTGCTGTCTCTGTGGACCTCACCTATTTTCCTACCCCTCATCCATTGTTTCATAGTTGGGCCCTTCTCCACACCTGTGCTGGGAGATACAGGATCTGCTTCCTGTTGAGGCAGTATGTTTTTTACTTTCCCAAACAGGATATTAAAGTTTATGGCTTTGGCAGTCTTTCAGGGAAGAGCCCATGATCACAAGTAATAGATGCTCTGACTCTAGACCTTGAAATGTCCAACAGCAAAGAGAACCATTCCAACTTCATTGTTGCCAAATCTTCAGCACTGACAGGGCCAGGCAGAGGCTGACCTTTTCTATCCGAAGCTCAAAGTCTGAATATAGACTCTGTTGTTCTTAATTCTTCTGTGACTTCAAGCAAGCTCTTAGAATGCTCTGTTCCTCAGTTCCCACTGCTGCAGGAAGCTGTGGATGAAGGCTGCTTTAGTAAGGGTTATAGCAAACTACTTGTATTGGGTCTGGAACTGACCATGCATTTAATGGTGCTCATCTATTTTCCCTCGTCATTGTTGTGAAGCTCTAAGACTTTGCTTCCATTAGCCCAATCTAACTGCTATATGTACAGCAGTGACCAGGTTACAACAAAGGGGAAGCTCTGAGTCAGGCTGTGCGGGGCCAGGCAGTGCTATGAGAATCACAAGGACTAGGTCAGAGCCATGCTTTTCCACAGAAGCCCTTCTGCTGCCTGAGAACCTTGAGTAGCATTACTAAGAAATCTCAAAGTGACAACAAATGGTCTTTCTTACATTCACGTGTCCTAGAGCAGGACTATGTGAAGGTTAAAACCTTAGAGAAAGGAATCAGGATGGCCTTATCCTTCTGAATCAGTATTGGTTTCTTATTCTCTGTCCATGTGATACTGTAATACTGACAAAGCTGTGAGGTGTCGGCTGAAGGAGGAAGTAGTGGAACTTTCTTGAATACACAGATCAGAATGATTTATGATCACAGTCGTCACAGTTTATCTGAGGCTGCAGAACTTGAATGCTTCACAGGCAAATGTTTGCACTGCACGGAATGGGGGACAGAGAACCAGGGCTCCAGAGTAGGAAGAATCAGGGTTAGCATCCTGACTCCTTCATTGCTTGTTAACTATCTTAGAAAGATTTGGATTCTCAGCATCTCAAGAATTTCTTTCACTGTAAAGGGGTTGGGTGTAATAATAGCTTCGGGTACCTAAAGTCCTGATTCTCAAAATTGACTGAAGCAGAAGCCAGTGTAGTGGCTTATAGTTTTCTTCCAAGTACCACAGACTGAACCTAGAGTACCATGCATACTGGGCAAGTACTATACCACAAAGCTATATGGGGATACCTCTTTTGCCTTCTTATTTTAAGAATGGGTTTCATTAGTTATTCAGGTTGGTCTTGAACTCATTTTGTAGTCCAAGAAGTCCTTAAACTTGTGATCTTCCTGTCTCAGCCTCCAGAGTAACTGCAATTAGTCTGTTAAACCTCAGATCCTTCTGATTTCTTCTTCAGCAAGCAGTAGAGTGGATAATCTCCATGTCTGAGAAGTTCCCAGGTGCTTTTGCTGCTAGACTAGGGACCTCACTTTAAGAAGTTCTGGTGTCACTGGGCAGTAGTGGTACATATCTTTAATTGCAGCACTTGGGATGCAGAAGCAGGCAGATCTCTAAGGTGGAGACCAGCCTGGTCTACAGAATGAGTTTCAGGACAAGTAGGGCTACACAGAGAAACCCTGTCTCCAAACAAACAAACAAACAAATCCTGGTGTTAAGAGTTAGGAAGACTAAGTAGAAAGGAAACCAGGCTCAGTGCTTAGCACATGGGAAGACCATGATAAATTGTACTGGTGATCATGGTGATATCCCCTGTGGTGTAAGTCATAATGATGATGGTTGGTTGATTGGTTGATTGTGCATCTTGTCTTATATAATTTTTTTAAAATCATCAGGTGTGGGCAGAAGAAAAAGCTGGTGATCAACAGCGGCAATGGAAAGGTAGAAGACAGGAAACCAAGTGAGCTCAATGGGGAGGCCAGCAAATCTCAGGAAATGGTGCACCTGGTGAACAAGGAACCATCAGAGACTCCAGACCAGTTTATGACAGCTGATGAGACACGGAACCTGCAGAATGTGGACATGAAGATTGGGGTGTAGGCCTACACCAGTAACTTGGAAAGACACCAAAATCACAGACATGTCAATATTGGGAGCTGGGACCCTTAACAGATGCAATGTGCTACTGATTATTTTTATTGGGGGTAGTTTCTGCACAAAATTTTCTATTTCTTTTACATTTTGTTAAAAGTCCATTCCAATTTATGAAAACAGCATTGCTTTCTGAAATGAGGGCCCAAAGAATACTCCATTAAGAATTTAACTCTTCCAGCTCCTTCTTAGAGGTCTTGCATTCCCAAGCAATGCTATGGATGGCTTCTATCAAATGCATATTCTTGGTCCCTATTGAACCTTTTCCCTAACCTAAGTCCCAGGTAACTGCCACCAGCCAGGGACTTACCCCAGGGCTTAGCGGGATTGGTGTCTGGGAGGAAATTTGAATGGGTCCATATTGCCTCTCCAGCAATCCAGTCCTTGGGCATTGCTTTCCAGCACGGTGGGAGATCAGGTGTACTGGTTACATACCTTTTTTTATAAACTCTCCTCTCTGCTGGAAAATTTTCAGATGCTTCTGAGAGATCCCCAAATGGGTGACGCTATTTATCTGTAGTAAGCTATTTATCTTTGTTTTTGAAATATCAAACCCTGGAGGTCCTTTGTTCAGTATGATTTTTTTTTTAGGTTACTTTGTCAGAAGCATACCAGGTTATAAGTTGATGCATAATAAACACCTGTCCATCTTCCATCTTGACCGGTTGTGCTGTGATCCTTCAATTTCTAAATCAGCAAGGTTTAAGTCTTCATAGCATATCAGGATGACTTTAAAATGGTCCTCCTAAACCCGTGCCAGAGCACTTATGCCCCAACTCGGGTTCACCTGGCTGAATCTCCTAAAAAGTCAAGGACGGAAACACTGTTTTGTATCTAAGGCTATCAAAAGGGTTTCTCTCCTATTCTGGAATGTGAGTTGTGAGTAGAAAAGCTTTAGTCACCTGTGTGCTTTGGCTACCCTTTTCTCTTCCGTAAAGGGCACATTAAGTTTCTATGTCCTTCAGATTTTGAGGTCTTATTTCATAGAAACTGATCCTTGTAGTGATTTCACAAGACAGTATGGTGCAGACTTGTGACACCTTACAGTAAAAGGAGAAGCCAACAGAAATTAAAGTGTATACAGCGAGCAGTAGATTGGCAAAAGGAGGGTGTGGTGTACAACCCATCCCAGTATTTCCATGGATGTGTTTGTTGACATTTTCACAAACCAGCTTGTCCTCAAAATGAGGTGCCTGGAAATCCCCCAGAAAGCTATAGGGCTGCCCACTACTGGAATCTTATCACCAGATAAGCAGGCAAGCAGGCTTATGGCTTAGTCAAGGGAGAGTGGTGTTACCCTAACCTCAGTTTTTTTTTTTTTTTTTTTTTTTTTTTACATAGTGGGTAAGTGATGGCATTTATCCATCTGTCAGAATGTCCCATTGCTCCTGGATCTTCCCTAGTTACTTGTAGAAGAAATTAAATCTATAAAGTAAGGCTTTCTATAGGATGAGACTTCCTTTCTAAGTCTCCCATGATGTTACTGTTGACTAAATTTATATGTTTAATTTTTTTCAAATAAAATAAAAAACAAGAGAAAAGTTTACCACCTAAATTTTGTTTGAGTTTATATCAAGGGTGAACTCAGAATTTCTTGAAGGAAATATACAGACTTTCCAACACTTATTCCCAGCCTCCCTCCCTCCCTGTTCACCTCTCCCCAATGCCATGGCTCCCATAAATTTCCTTTTTCTTCCTTTGTGAATTCTATTAGTTAGTTCCATATTTAGACACCTACTTTTCTTCCTCTTTTCCAGTTAAAGTACACACTAGGTGACTCTTTGTTCTTCTCCACTGTTAGAATGTCCCCTGTCCTTACAGCTTTCCTGGCCTACCACACCCACAACAGGCTCACCTGGGCTCTTTAACCTGTATGCGGCAAACCACTCTGGAATTGGGTATAAAGGACTCTGCCAAACTCTTCCTGCTCCCTAGCTATCCTTTAGAGGCACAAGGAGAGCCATTTAAGACTCAGGGCCAGAGATAATTCTCTACCCATTCTAGATATGCTCACTAGTTGGGTTGGGGTAGAATATTATTTGCCATGATGGTTCTGGTTCTGGTAGCATAATCTGATTTTGTATTACTCATACAATGACTGTCAGGTAATACAGGCTAAGTCATTGAACTGGGAGTTCATTAATAAAAATAAGGGGCTGGCTTTTAGTGATTTTTGTAAAGTAACATGAACACTTCAAATGTCATTTTTTAAAAAAAGAAATTGTAAATTTCTCATGTATCTTGAAGGTTTTCTTTAAATTAGCCTTGAGTAAAAGTCAAATGAGTCAAAAGATACCTTCATATCTGTATTTCTTAAAGTGGATGTTTCCAGAGCCTTTAAGAAAAAAAGATTTACATTGACATCCATAGCACCAAGAACTGGCTTTATAGCCAACATCCATTGCAACATCCAAAGATTGTTGCAACAAAGTAGAAGAAAGAGCCACCTTCTTTGGGAAATTAAAAGACTCAGAAGAACAAGAATCAACCATTTTGTGTAAATCCTGTGTTGACTTTCCAAACACAGCCAATTGTTATGTATGTACAATGATTTTTGTTATGGTTTCTTTCATTTTTTCAGAGACCACCCTCCCTTTCTCTGGTTTTTGTATATTTATTGATTGATCATTAATAATGAGGTGCATTGGAAATAATGAAAGTGTGCATTGGAAAACATTAAAAGGCCATAAGAGATGGAACCCACAGTCTCTGATGTGAGGGGTCTGGGCAGTGGCACGGGGCGGGGGGTGTCAGAGAGTAACTGTCTGGATGTCTGAGTGATATGGAAGGACTCAGAAGTTTCTGAGGCATCTGGAAGCATGTTTGCATTTTCCTTTTTTGTTTTGTGTACATGTGTATAGAAAAACATGCTGAAGTGGACATGTGTGTGGAAGCGTGAGGTTGGTGTCAAGGTCATCCCTGCTGGCTCTCCCACCTTGTTCATTGAGGCAGAGTCTTTAAATCAAACCCAAAGCTCTCCAGTATGGCTAGTCTTGCTAGACAGCTTGCTCTGGGGTTCCAGATGAAGCACTATGCCCACCAACATTTTATTATTATTATTTCTTTTTCTTATCTTACATATCGATCCCAGTTCCGTCTTCCATCCTGCCATACCCTCAATCCCCCTCCCATCCCATTCCCCACCCACTCCCCAGGGAGGGTGATGTCTTCCATGAGGGATCATCAAACTCTGTCAAGTCTTTTGGGGTAGGGCCTAGGCCCTCCCTCCTGTCTCTAGGCTAAGGGAGTATCCCTCCATAAGGAATGTGCTCCTGAAGTCCTTTCATGAACCAGGGATGCATGTCAGAGGTTCACTGTCAGAGGTCCTTTAGACTGCCCAGGCCTTCTAACTGAGACCCACATTCAGGGGGATCTGGGTCTGTCCAATTCTGATTTCCCAGCTATCAGTGTGGGGTCCGTGAACTCCCCCTTGTTCAGGTCAGCTGTCTCTGGCCCACCAACACTTTACAAGAGTTCTAGGGATCTGATCTCCAGTCTTCATACATGTGCTGAATTTTAACCCCTGAGTCATTTCTCCAACCCTAGAACTCTTGATCACTTGGCTTCTACCTCCCAAGTGCTGGGTTGCTGTGATGTACCACTTAAAGAGATCAACAACAACAGACAAACGTTTACATGAACTTTCATCACTTGGATTTAGTGTTGAGGGAAAGCTTGACACCTGCCTCCAGAAGATGTATTCTTCAGAATCATCTAAAGTAAGTCAGATGCTGTGAAGTGTGACTTCCTAAAATGCCCAGAGCTGCCTTTGGCCTCTCAGTTTAAGAGAATAGTGAACATGCCTCTACTCCATCCATCACGGCAGCTTCTTAACCACAGCTGGGGCTGTAGCTCAGTTGAGAAAATACTTGCTTGGCCTGAGTTCCATTCCCAGCACTACACATATTGTAGTAGTGCATGTCTATAATCCTGGCCTTTGAAAGGTAGAGGCAGTGAGATCAGAAGTTCAAGGCTGTTCTTGAACACATATTGAATGCTAGGCCAGCTAGGATACATGACCCTCTCTTAAACAAAAGGACAAGATAGAAATGAAAAGCTATTCTGAAAAGGAGCTTGAGAGGAGAAAGGAGAGCAACAATACTTTGAAGCTAGGAAATAATGGTTAATTGATAACTGGTTGAAAAATTTGGAACTGTTCAACCCTAAATCAATTGTTGGGAAATAATCAAACTTATTAGCTGAGTACCACAGAGGCCCAGAAATTGGCATTGGTAGTTAACCTGCAAATGATGAGGAGGGTAGATGAGCAGGTAGAGCCCCAGCCCCCTCCCCTCCTCTGTGCAGTCTAGTTTATTGTCCTTTCAGTTTCCACACAGAAGCAGAATTATATCTCTGGAGAGGGTAAAATAGTTAAGGGCAACAAGGGAATCACAGTTGGCAATATAATTCTCTCTCTCTCTCTCTCTCTGTCTGTCTCTGTCTCTCACACACACTGAAGCTGTACATATGAAAATGTTCAAATCTCCTGGTCTTCTCCTTCTTGGCTCCCAGAACACTGGCAGAGTCCTATTTCCTTCAAGAAGATCCACCTTTCTAGGGAATTTTATAAGCCTGAAACAAAAGTCTGAAGATACTAATATGATAGTGCTTCAGGGAAACAGATAGGGGCTGTACAGTAAGGGTCAAGTTGTGGGTGACATCAGGCACCCAGCTTTCTATGCCTTGCTCTGCACACTGAGAGACAGAGGTTCTAAGTCCTTGCAGAAAGCACCTAAATTAAACACAAGGACTAAATCAAATAAGATAAAGCCACTTGTAAGAGATAGAAACAATTCATGGATAAAAAACAAAACAAACAAACAAAACTCATCATTAGTAGCCTCAATAAGAGAGGAGGCAAGGCATGCAGAGAGGACAGATCACTTAGGTTAAAAAAAAAAAAAAGGACATTCACGGTGTATCTCAAGATGGAGTTTTCCAAAACGAAAGGACAGAGTTTTGAAATAAGCACAAGAGCAGGTTTGTAAGAAAGTTCAAGAAACATCTTTGCAAAGCCAGTGACAAAGACATGGAAACAGAGATACACATTCCAAAGACTGAGCTCTGATAGGAAATCTAATGTGCAAATCACAACGACACCAAAAGAGAAAACTATGGCAGTGGAGAGGAGTGATCATGCAAAAGACAAAATAAGAAAATTTCCTAGAATGTATTAATATGAGTGTCTGATTAAATACCAGATGAATGTTTAGTAAAATAGACAAAACTGAAACTGTGGGCCTGACACTGTAGAGCTAGATGAGATACTGTGCACCCAGAATCCCAGCTCTTAGGAGTCAAAAGTAGATGGGAAGATCATAAGTCTGCTAGGCCAGCGACACAGAAAGACCCCTGTCTCAAAGATCAAATCAAACAAACATAAAATAACCAGGAGAAAATCAGACTTCTCACTCATCACTTTGGAAGAAAGAAGGCCAAGAGACACAGTGGAATAAAAGCTTCCTGCCTATGGGGAGCTTCCCAGATGGAATGTGCCCCAAAAGACCTTTTCAGAGGCTTGGGTAATTCCAAAATAACCTGACCTTCAGACCACACTGAGACTGGGAGAGTAGTAAATATCTGTGTACCTGTAATGCCATCATCAAATGAAGGGCACCTAGAATTGTAAAAGTAATTGGAGGCCTTCAAGAATACAAAATT